AGAAATCCCAGACAAATGGCCAAATCTTTCTCACCCCTGTCCCTCCCACCAGCAAAATTTCCAGGAGGAAAAAGGTAGGGTAGTATGGATATTTTTCTCTGGTTGGGGTATGATGCCAATTTTTTCAGCTGTTTGATGCAGTGGCACAGATATTTGGTTATATTAATCCCAAACCAGGCCATGTGTCACCAATGGAATGGGTTTCAAGGATTTATAGCAAAGAAACACAGTGTGTGTAACTACTCCCAGCCCAGGAGTGGTTCCTGATTTGAAAATGAACCCATTCCAAGCAGAAATACTACCAAATTCTTTTCAAAGCAGCCTAAAGGGGTTAACAGCAGGTGAAGAGGGTGCTTCTTCCCTCTTTCTTTAATTTTGTTGTTTACAATTCCTTTAAAATATTAGAGGCCTGCTGGGAGGAGCGTCCCATTTCCTCACACCTTCCTTGTTCCACATGAAACAAAGGTGGCAAAATATTCTCAGACTGAGTGTGTGGCTGTGGCTGGCCATTACTATGCTTTTATCCCACAGCTGGCTCCTGGAAGAATTCACTAGAAGAACCAGCACCAATGATGTGTATAAATGCATATTTATGTATCTGTCAATCTGTCGATCCTACAATAGTTCAGATATTCTGTAATTCCTTATCTAGTCTTGGCCACCAGCACGGAGGTTCCTGGATTCTTTAGGAATCTCAAGTTTTATTTCCTACAGCTAGCTTTTTGAGAAAGTAATCCCCTCATTTGCAAAGCTGAAGACTGTATTTACCATCTTCACATTGCAAGGATTTAAGTACTTCAAGTTTGTGGCTTACTCCATGTTTATATACAATCTGACGTAATGAAGCCTAGATCATCATGGAGGTCCCGTTGAGGGATCTGGAGACATGGAGACAGAACCCAAGGCTCCTCTTGAACTCAGAAGCAGGATTCTCATTGACCAGTGAAGAAGCAAACATACATGAAAACTGCAATCTTTGGCTTCTTACCATTAAGATACATTATCAGATAGTATTAGAAATATAACACATACCCTGCTGTCTGAAACCACTCAGAGGGAAGTAAGATGGAAATATTAGCATCCCTGCTGAGCAGAAGCCCCACTCTGCCACTTGGTTTAACTGACTATTACAAAAGCCAAGGGCAGTTGCATTTTGAGCCATACAAACAAACTACACAGCCACAGCAATGTTGTTCTGCATGCTGAACCAGGAAGAGCAAATTCCACTAATTATATCTTGTATTTTGTCTTCTGCAAACTTTCTGTCACTGTGTCCAGGAGGCTTTTATCACCCTATTTTTAAGAAGAAAAAAAAAAAAAAAGAAAAATGAAAGTACCATAGTTTACTGCAAGCAATGCTATGTTTTGAGTCCAAGTCTCACAAAGTTCTGACTAAAAAACTATATAAAGCTTTATAAAGCTTTCCACTATATAAAGAGAAAAGCTGACTGGCAGCACTTTTTGTAGGAAGTGAAGGGCTACATTTAGGGAGTTCTCATTTTCATTCTCATTTCTCCTTGTTCAGTTCACCACTGTTTCTAATAATTCACTTTGGGTCTCACAGGCTTTGTGTTCTCTGCAGCCTGCCACTTCGCAGCCTAAGTAAAATTGCATTCACCCCTTCTGAGCTTCAACAACAGGAAATATGCTGGTGTGTGTCATGGAGGTGGAGCAATGCCCTATTTGGTTTCGAGGATATTAAGAAAAGGGTTAAAACTGAAAACATGGGTAAGCAGAAGAATGTAGGTGTCTTTCCTTAAGAGAAGACAGAAGAGCATACCTGTATTAGGTTTGTGTGGCAAGGTTTTGGTAGTGGGGCAGGCTACAGGCATGGCTTCTGTTGAGAAGCTGTTGGAAGCTTCCCCTGTGTCCAACACAGCCAATGCTAGCTGGCTCCAAGATGGACCTGTCACTGGTCAAGGCAGACCCCATCAGCAATGGTGGTCACTGATATAATAACATATCTAAGAAGAGGAAAACGTTGCTGTGCAATTGGGCAACTGCAGCTGAAGACAAGAGTGAGAATATGTGAGAGAAACTGCCCTGCAAACACCAAGGTCAGTCCAGAAGGAGGTGAGAAGGCGCTCCAGGCACTGGAGCAGAGATTCCCCTGCAGCCCATGGTACAGACCATGGGGAGGCAGGCTGTGCCCTGCAGCTCTTGGAGGTCTATGGTGGAGCAGATATCCACCTGCAGCCCATGGAGGACCCCAAGCTCCATGAAGGAGGTTGCGACCTTGTCGGAAACCTGCGCTGGAGCAGGTTTTCTGGCAGGACTTGTGACCCCATGGGGGACCCACGTTGGAGCAGTCTGTTCCTGAAGGACTGCACCCCACGGAAGGGACCCACGCTGGAGCTGTTTGTGGAGGACTGTCTCCTGAGGGAGGGACCCCACGCTGGAGCAGGGGAAGAGTGTGTGGAGCTCTCCTGAGGAGGAAGGTTCAGAAGAGATAACATGTGGTAAACTGACCACAACCTCCATTCCCTGTCCCCCTCTACTGCTGCAGGGAGGAGACAGAGAATTTGCGAGTAAAGTTGAGCCTGGGAAGAAGGGAGGGATGGGGGAAGGTGTATTTAAGATTGGGTTTTACTTCTCATTACCCTACTCTGATTTGATTAGTAATAAACTAATTTAACCAACTTGAGTCTGTTTTGCCCATGACAATAATTGGTGAATACTCTCTCCCTGTCCTTACCTCCACCCACAAAGCCTTTTATGTTTTCTCTCTCCTGTCCAGTTGAGGAGGAAGAACAATAGAGCAGCTTTGGTGGGCACCTGGCATCCAGCCAGGGTCACCACAATACATTCAGATGAACAGAGACAAGCATTAGAGAGATTTAGCTCCCATGAAATCAGCATAGAAATCAGTAGCTGAGACTCCTGCACCACTACGCAAACTGGGAGATTTGCCCATCCCTTAGATCGCTCCTTACTCCTTTCCCTTATGAAAGCCTGTAACCAAGTAAATGCCATTGCAAGTCTCTTAAAAAACAGTCCCTAACAAAAGTCTTACAAGTCCTGATCTGAAAGAGCCTAACAAATACCACTTTCACATTTGGTATGTCTTTTAGCACCTGACTCAAGGCAGTAGTTGTTCCTCTTCCAGAACTAAAATCAGCGAGAACATAGTTCCTGAGATCTAAAATAAACCTGCAGTTCAGGTCAGTTAAGCTATCTCCTAAAGTCAGTTTTACAGTCTCTTACTGTAACCCCTGCTTTCCCACCTCACTCAGCTGTAAATAGCCCTACCAGCAGAGAGACCCTCCCAGGAGGCTGCCCAAGTCAAGGTAAAGAGGAGCCTCAGGAGGCCTCAAAAATAGGCTGCCATTAAAGAATCTGAATATAAATTGGCATCTCACCCACACAGTGCTTTCACAAGCCTCTGCTTGGAAACAGCCTGCTTTAAATACCTTTGAAGAGGTATGTTCCTATTGTAACAGTGTCACTGCAACAAGCTCTGTGTGGGAAGGCAGAAGGTAAGACTTAGGGTCTTAGGGGAACAATCAGATCTAGGGGAAAGCAAGCTGTTCCTGCGACCCTTAGACCTGCCTGCCCTCCCTGAACCTAGATAAGCAGTGCTGCCAGGGTTCCTCTTGCTTCAGTCTGGCTGACAGCCAGACCAGGGAAAGCTCCCACTGATTTTAGGGACAAGGAAGCTGTCCCCCAGCTGTGGCTTGAAACTGTGGCTTCAGGGGGGAGTGTATCAGGGAGTGTGGGAAGTGAGAGACCAAGTTAAACCAGGAATTCTTAAAAAATGGTAAAGAATTGCTTTCAGTCTTTTAGTGGCTGGCTTCAGTGAAAGAAATGTATTGCATGTATCCTGCACACAAAGACAGAAACGTTTGCTTCAAAATCAGAGCAGGAAACCCAGCGTGCACATCCTTTCCCTCCACTGACCCCCAGTGAGCTACTTCAGCATTAGTGGAGAGAACTAAACCTAGGAAGGGGGAGGACTCAGCAGCTGTCAGCAGGCTGTCCAGAAGCAATGATCATAGACAAAAATAACCATAAAAGATCTTTCCAAATATAGCCCTCATTATTGGTGCTGTATCAGTTTCATTTCACACCATTTCATTTCATGAGTGTCTCTCTCTGGTTCCCTTTAAGAGGCCACCTGAGGCACCAGGGCCTTTCTCTAGAAAGGGAGAAGTGAGAAAACATTTCAGTGTCATGATAGACAAAGGATGGATAATTCTTGCTCTCAAATGTTTAACCTTGAATGCTCCCTGGCTAATCATAAGCAGGGTGAGCTAAGCAGGGCCTGATGAAAATCACAGGACACAGTTGTTTTGCGGCACTGCTGTAAAACCCCTCTGCAAGCTCTAAGTTTGGGCATGGTGGCACGAAGACATGAGTTACTGGTAGTAGAACGTCACCCTATGCACCTGGAAGTGTACAGTCTTACAGGACCAATTTGAGACAGCTGGAACCAAGGTGTTACAACCTGATTTAAAGTTTCAGTGGGTGGTAGCTTCCAGCATCAAAAAAAATAGGGAGGGAGAGTGGGATATGGAGTGTCTTATTTTCTTCCATTTTGTGTCTTACAATTTTTTACTTGCTTTACCCAGTGCAGTGTCTGTGGTATCTGCAAAAAATGGACAAAGCTGTTAGAATGTTATCAGCTGACTGCTTGGAGGTGCTAAGTATGCCACATGTGCAGAGCCAGGCAGATTAGGAACTGAGAAATGCCCATACTTGCTTTTGAGCTATCTAGGCAATTCATGAGACCATGTTAAGAGACCTACTACTTTGCTTTCAAGCAACTGAAGACAAATCACAGTAACTTCAGAGGAAGGCAAAGTCAGAACTAGGCTGTGGTTGTGGGTATGAAACTGCAGTACTTACAAACTGAGCAATCTCTTCCTCTGTGGACAAAGACCAGAGCCATACTGGCTCAGGGAAGTGTGATCCCCAGTACCAGTCCCAGTAAGTGTACTCACCCTGGAAAGCGGCAGGGTGTAAATTATAGTAAGACATGAAATCTATTGTTAACTCAACCTGGAGAGACCCAAAAAATCATGGTGTCTGCAAAACTGATTTACCACAGATGATCAGATGATCAGCTTGCAGCTGCAAGTTGTAGGGATGATAAGCAGACAATACTACTTGTTGAGATGAACCACAACTTAGTCTTGGACGTGATGCTAATATTGCTCTTGTACAGCATCATTGTTGGGTAGGGGTTGCTGGCAAAAGCACAGCTCACATCACAGTCATTGCCATGACTCATTCTGTGATTCTTCAATGGGACGACAAAACAAGGAAGCAGAGATCTTCCTGGGATACTCCATCTTGAAGCCAAAACACTCTGCTGAGGATGGAGTCACTGTGGGATGCTTCGCACTGCACTGTCTGTTGCACACGCAAACACAGAGCCAGCACCATCAAGACAGAGTCTTCTGCACAAGTACAAATCCAAAGAGCTTGGGTATGGTATTTCATGACCTGGGCCTTATTTGCCACCAGGGAAAACTCAGGGAAACGATTTCATTCAGGGAAGAACAAACAATACACCACATTACTGTTAGCATCTGACCAGCATACCTATATCAACATGTAAACAAATACAAACTGAAAAGCAAGAGCAGAAGGAATCAAAAATCTTATTCTCTCATCAATCTATGCAACTGTAAGCAAGCAATTAATTTTGTTGTTTCTTGGTCTGTAAATGAGGTATCATGTTTTTGCTCCATGGGGATATATTGATGCCTTCTCTCACTAACGCCTTTAAATTGTAAAGTGCTTTTGGATATTTGGCTCCCAAAGCACTTTAGAAATGCATGATTAAATTACACCCAAGTACAAACCAAAGCAGGTGATCTTGTAAAGGAAGGGATATTACTCTGCTGGTGTCTCTCTAAGGCACTAATAGTCTACGGAATGCCCTGAGGGAATCAAGGGAAAGTGAGTGTGCAATTTATTTTCCAGTGTCCACTGCAAAACTTCCACTTCCAGCCTGTTTAAACACATTTCTTGAAGTCTTTATTATCAACTTTTGCACTGGAATGAAGACCCTTCAGATAAATCCCTGGATCCTAAATGTAGCAATGTATAGCAAAATTCTCCTATGATAACTCATTCTCAGAAAATAATTTATCTCCTTCTTATCCTTCAGAGCTTTTCTACCATCTCTCAGGTTTGTGCAAATAAACCATGTGACTTGCCATTTATAAAGAAGAATAGGAAATCAGTTCTCATCTGCTTGTGTCCTGCTATCCTCCCTAAAAACAGGTAGGCTGTTATCAAAGGAATGTTCAAGGGAATGCACTGCAAGGTACAAACAACCCAGCTTTCCTCCATTTACTACTCCCCTATACTTGCCTACATACAAAGAAGTTACACGATTTATTTCAGACACTGTAAAATTCAGGCCTGGAGTACTTCTCTACACAAGAACACAACCATAGCCACGTAACTGGAAGTGCTCTTTCTCAGCTGCACATGTAGCTGAAGTAACATACCTATGGTCTAGTTATGTTTATCAAGGAAGACTGATAGTTAAATGCACAGTTTGACACCTCGTTGCTCACCTTAAGGTACAACTTACTCTGTTATTTTAATGTATTGCCCGTTATGCTTAATGGGATTAGAAGACTTGTAGCAGCATGTGGATAGGCTTCTGAAGAAATATATATACTGTCTGAAAATATGTATTAATATATAGTTTGTTTCATACTACTATATTATGTAACAGGAGTAAGCCAAGCAAAAAAATCTGGCTTGGGTCTCATTACTCAGAGTAACTACATTCTGCTTTGCCCCCCAGACTGGGCAGGACTCTCACTTACCATTTAGATTTGATGAGCTGGGGCACGTTCAGGTTTTTCCAGAGGTCCTGCTAATAAGACATCCTTATTATTGACTAGGCCAGAGCAGGGAGTGGCTGAACAAAGGAGGTGTTTACGTGGTGGGATGACCTCCAAGTGTTTAATTTAACATACTTTTCAGGACTTCTTACAGCTTTTGGCCCAGAAATACTGTCACACAGTGTCCTACGTGTGACAGATTTGTTTGCTTTTTATTTAGGAAACAAATCCCAGTCAGACTGGAAATATGCTACAAGACAAATGACTTGCAATGCCAATCTTCTGTTAAGATATGCCAGTATCACCTTCTCCATACACAGACGGCCCCTTGAATTTTAAACAGCATCGGTATGAACTGCTACATAATGTGCTTCACATGCATGCAGTAAAAGGAAGCCTGAAGAGGTTAACAACAAATGGATAGGATAGGCCTGGAGGTATTCTTGCATCTATTCCCCAGGTGGGGACCTGAGGTGCAGAATAGTTTAGTGATATACCTAAGGCCATAGAGGGAGCCTGAGCTAGTCCACAGTCCTATGTGCAAGAGAACCTGTCTTCCTTCAGTGCTGTCATGGCTTTTTATGCTTGCCTCTGTCTTTGGAGATGTACCACTGCTCCTGTGAATCCAGAGGGTCAGTGTCCCCAGTGAGATTGCAGACAATAACTCAGAAGTCTTTCCTCCCTGGGAGCAGGCCTGTGACAGTGTACTTATTGCTGTAGACCTCTGCGGTTGTGAACCATGTGGCAGAACTGACATCACATTTCAGGACACAATAATCTGTCTGCTAGTCATCTTCTACCCCTGAGTTATGATTTAGGGTCACAGCATTAGGGCATTAGGGATTTCTTCAACCAGCTGCACATCAGCGGGTGGTCAGGGGAAATCTAAGAATTAATGAGCACATTTAAGTACTGATTTCTTCTGTTTGGGACGCTTCCTCTGTATTTTTCTGAGGTTAAAATGTTTTCAATTCAGCTCCTCCCTTCCATAGTCCCTGCGTGTCTAGGGAAGCATTTCTTTCCTTGATTTCTTCTAGCCTGAGCAACCTGAGGGCCAATTTTCCCTGTGCATGTAGTTCCCGTCTCATGAAAAAGGAAGTCTGTTAGTTTTTTAAAGCACTCTTTGTAGAGCTGATAAGTACAACGTACACTGCAAAGGTTCCAAACCCCCAACAAATCATTACAGTAACAGGAGTCTCTCAGCAAGGAAGAGCAAGCAGTAAGCAGGAGCTTAAGTAATCAGGAGCAGTAAGCCATCTCATTAAGCAGGAGCAAGCCAGCCTGCCTCCACTTGGCTGTCACAGGCCCACTTGCAATAGAAATGATGTCACCAGACTGCTGAGGGGACAGACACTGTTGTGTTAGCGCCGTTAGGGGGATTTGCCCGATCAAGTAATGGCATGAAAAACAAGGCAGCATTTGGTGATGTCTGGAGCAACAACTGCTTCACCAATTCCTTCCACATTGGACAGAGTGACCAAAGCCCTAGAAGTACCTTCCTTACCCCTTGGCTCTGAACCATGCTGCTTGGCCCAGCTGTCTCTGACTTAGTGTGAAGATGGGACTTAAGAAACACAGTGACAAGAGGTAGGAAAATCCTTTCTGACCAGGAAGTCTTTCTCCCCTTGAGTGGAAATATTTTGGATTGCTCCTGTGGCTTTTTTAAGATAAGGGGTGTGTATGATTGGGATAATTCTTCTTTTTTTTTTCTTTGCTTTTTTTTCCCCAAGGAAAAACCCAACCTCCCCAACTCCAGTATTGATGGAGAAATTGTGTGAAATTTCTGTCAGCAGAGGAATACCTCCTGTCAGTACCCAGAGGTGACCAAGATGATCAAGTTTGTTCTATACTGTACCTGCAACTTGCATCTGAATGTCATAAAGGCATTCTCCATAACTGTTCTTGAGGATAATCTGGTACTAGTCAGAAACCAATTGCCTGGTCTTGTGAATAGGGATGGCAAATGGTTCTTGTGCTCCCTCATGCTGGTATGCCTTCTTTTTGCCACATCACTGGTGGTGGTGGTGACGAGTCCTGGCCAGGGCAAACATACAGCTATAGTGTTCTGCTTCCTGGCTCAGAAGGCAACAGAAACAAGCTACATCTCTGAGCACAAAAGAGATATCTGTGTCTACAAGAGCCACTTGTACATGATCAGCCTGACAGAAAAATAGTTCAAGGACAACAGTCCTAGAGATTTCTTCAAGCTGTAAAGGTTTTGCACTCAGCAAAATGCATAGAACTTGATTAGCCTGGGAGATGCCACATAAACCTCATACTACAGTTCATTAGTTTGATCATTGTGAAAGCTGAGAGAAAACAGCTGATGTGATACAGATAAACTTGTACACTGTGGCTGATTCTGCAAAGTACTGTAGAGCCTCAGCTCATGCAGTAGTCTATGCTTAAAAAAAAAGGAAAGCACAGAAGGTGCCCTTAGCCTCTACAGAAATGAGATCAATATCCACGTTAATAGAAATTGTACCTCAGAAAGGACAGTGCTGAGACATCAAGCATTATCTTTATAACTCAGTGACTCCCCTGGGTCACTCAAGGTTTACTCAAGAATTATTTCACTTTGGTTAGTGTTAACTGAATGCTCAAAAAATAAACTGCATGTTCAAAAAATGCATGGTGCTGTCCCAACACAAACCACCATGTGGCTCTTCAGCCTCACAGTCATATCAAACCTATGGGGTGGATAAAAGAAAAACAACGAGAGAGAGAAGTTAAAAATTAAAAGAGAGATTGTAAAGAAATGTAAAGCCATTCTTTAAACTATTGAGTCCTGCTTGAAGACTGGAAGAAGAAACCTTCAAACTGTTTCAGCAGAAGCACTTAGTATAAGGGTTGCAATGTCATAAGCTCTTTTCCCAATATCACCTGGATATGACTTCTGAGACTTCCTCAGTCGAGCCTGATTGTCCTTTTACTGTATAGGAATCAACACTATGTAACGTGACTCATGAATCTTTTCTTGCTGGTGTTATAGCTACCGAGGGCAGTCAGCACCATGCTTACCTGGAAGTGTTTTAGACATAAAAAAGTCTGAGTTCATAATTAATAACTAAGCAATTCTAAATAATAAACAATAAAGATTTAAATACTTTGCTACCTCAAAGAGTAAGCTATCTAGGGATTTCATGGCAGGTCATGATACATTCATTCTCAAGATGTAACTAGTGTCTTTGAAGCATGACCTCTGATAATATTATTTCACCTTTAGCATGCTGGCACCTTACTGTTCATCCCATTCAAACTGAGGACCTGAAAGAATATTAAGCCTGTCTCAGCACCACTGTATTTACAACAAACACCATTTCAAACACGATAGTTTATTTGCTGTAGTACCCACCCTCCTAACCCATACTACAGTATCCATGACAGGAATCAGAGAATCTTTCAACAGTGACCTCTGTAATCACATGTGAGATGTGGTGTGAAAGGTCAGATGGTGGAAGAAACAACTGCTGTTACAGCTGATATTCAGAGAACAGCTCAGCAAGAAGGATGGCAGATGATTTTAATTTGGCACAAGCACAGCTTGCGCTCTTCTCCATCTCCCCTCAGCACCTCTGAAAACTCAGCAAAAAGCAGCAGAGCTGGGATGGTGAATGTTCTTTTGTGCAAGATTAATTTGATAACCCTTTACAAAACATATTACATAAGAAGAAGTAACAGCTGGCAGATGGGACTTGCAGCTGGATGGATACTGCAGGTCTCACCTGAAGGTGGCATTGATAGAATTGCTTCCTGTAACTCCACTGCTTCTCCTATACCAGCTTCATTCAAAGCTTGGGTTCAGAAATAGTATTTGTTTCTCCTACAAGCCTCCCACAGTACAAGTGGTACTAGAGATAGATATCTTGGTGCATTTTGTCCACTTCTTGGTGTTCTCAGCTCACATCTCTAGTATGTATCCCGACATCACATCTTCATGGTCTGGCTCCAGCCAGGCTAAGAGAATGCTGGAGTTAGAAAAATCCACTATCTTCGGCAGTCCTGGAGGCACTGTGACAGCAAGAGAGCTGTAACACACAACTCTACCGGCAGGCCTATGCTTGCATATGTGAATATAGAACTGTTCCTATTTCAAGATGCTGAACCTGCAAGGTTTTAGGGTAAAAGGAGCCTTAGTAAACACAGAGCAAATTCTGCCCAACAAAACAATGCAGTTCCTAACACAGCACATACTGTAGGACTCTGTTCCAAGGTTGGCCATTTAAAAAAAATCCTCATGTGTTTGGGAGAGGTGTCTAGCATTAAAGTTTTGCTTCTGTCTCTTTCTAGCTGACTGGTAAGCTCTGCAGTACATTTCCTATAACCTGTCTTGTATGGCTTTGACTGCCTTATTTAATAAACCCGTCTTATAGTCCTGTATAAAGCAGTCTGGTGCTATCTGGACTGCTTGGATTAGTGAACTTACTGGCTTGCAAGATCCTGTTAATATCCTTCAAGTTTATTTGCCAAAGATAACAGTAACACCAATTAATAGTCATTTTTGAAAATAGAGATACTTTTTGCTCTTTAGTCCACCTTTCAGCATTCTAGGTAGATCGCCATAATATGCAAGAAGAAGAAAAGATAGAATATTAAAAAATATTTATGTGGTTTTAATCAAATGAATAGCAGGTTATGTATCCAAATCCACATTCTGCTCTAAAAGTCTCAGCTAAAGTACAATGACACCCCCAACCCCAACCCAAAAAAAGTCAGCCAGTGCAGCATGCCTTGACAGACTTGATGCTAATTGTTTTCATACAGAACACTCGAATGAGCACACAGGGTTACAAGGAATATGGTGCATACGGGCAGTATATATCATCCTAGGCCTAATATGAGATAATCCAAGTCTTCAACTGAAGAATCTTAGCTTCAGGCTTTAAACTGCTTCTGTGTGTCTCCTGATGCAAAGGATCCTGAATCCCTTTCCCATCCAAGTAACTATTTAACTTCAAGGCACTTGTACTATTACATAGTATTCCCTTATTTTTTAGCTATATCAGCTTCCACACTTGGACAGGTGTTCTGGTTTTGGTTTGTTTGTTGTTTTTTTTTTTTCCCCTACCTTATGTACAGCTACTAAGGCTGTGTGTCCATTACAAGATTCCTGAACTAAAAATCAAGTATTCAAATAAAAGAATGTAACCAACTTCCATAAATTCTGCAAGAATCTTCTCTTTTTTTTTAAAGAGGTGATGGGAGATGGATGAAAGAGCATAATAAAATATGTAAGAAAGTTTCTTCATCATACATTAGGGCCTTTGGCAACCTGTATATGACTATTAAGTAGTAAAGGTACCTATACCTCAGGGCATCTTTATCATGTCAATCTCTGCTGTTTGCATATACTCAATTCCCCCCAGGTGGGAATCTCTTACCACATTCTTATGTTAACAGTTAAAGGTTTTAAGTGAATAATATCATACTTCCAGGCATTTATAATTACATTTATAGCCAACAGTATTAAGGCCTTCCTTAACCTTTAGTTAAGCTATAAACATAATACTCTCCACACTGAGCCAGGCTGGATTGCCACTGTCCCTCAGACTTCAGTCATAAATGCATAGACCTGGTCACGGCATGCATGAAAACTAGAAAATGCCAGGAAAACTAGACATTAAATAGTGAGAGAAACATACTGATGAGTTCCTTTGCAATGAGAGGCGAAGGGCATGTTGAGAAGTCCAGGGCCTGCACAGTTCACAGCTATCACGCAGAGCTCATTCTGTGACATCCTTGTCTCTAAATTGGAGAGACATCAATTTGATGGATGGACCACTCGGTGGATTAAGAACTGGCTGGATGGCCGCACACAAAGAGTTGTGGTCAATGGCTCAATGTCTGGCTGGAGACCAGTAACGAGTGGTGTCCCTCAGGGATCGGTGTTGGGACCGGTCTTGTTCAACATCTTCATCGCTGACATGGACAGTGGGATTGAGCGTGCCCTCAGCAAGTTTGCTGATGACACCAAGCTGTGTGGCTTGGTTGATATGCTGGAGGGAAGGAATGCCATCCAGAGGGCCCTTGACACACTTGTGAGGTGGGCTGATGCCAACCTTATGAAGTTTAACCATGCCAAGTGCAAGGTCCTACACCTGGGCCAGAGCAGTCCCAGGCACAGCTACAGGGTGGGCAGAGAAGAGATTCAGAGCAGCCCTGCAGAGAAGAACTTGGGGGTGCTGGTTGATGAGAAAATGAACATGAGCTGGCTTCAGTGTGCGCTTGCAGCCCAGAAAGCCAACCATATCCTGGTCTGTATCAAAAGGAGCATGACCAGCAGGTCAAAGGAGGTCCTGCCCCTCTACTCTGCTCTTGTGAGACCTCACTTGGAGTATTGTGTGCAGTTCTGGTGTCCACAACATAAAAAGGACATGGAACTGTTGGAACAAGTCCAGAGGAGGGCCACGAGGATGATCAGGGGACTGGAGCACCTCCCGTATGAAGACAGACTTGAGAAAGTTGGGGCTGTTCAGCCTGGAGAAGAGAAGGCTGCGTGGAGACCTCATAGCAGCCTTCCAGTATCTGAAGGGGGCCTATAGGGATGCTGGGGAGGGACTCTTCATTAGAGACTGTAGTGATAGGACAAGGGCTAACGGGTTAAAACTTAAACAGGGGAAGTTTAGATTGGATATAAGGAGGAAATTCTTTCCTGTTAGGGTGGTGAGGCACTGGAATGGGTTGCCCAGGGAGGTTGTGAATGCTCCATCCCTGGCAGTGTTCAAGGCCAGGTTGGACAAGGCCTTGGGTGATACAGCTTAGTGTGAGGAGTCCCTGCCCATGGCAGGGGGGTTGGAACTTGATGATCTTAAGGTCCCTTTAAACCCTAACTATTCTATGATTCTATATATCTTCCAGAAGACCATCCTCTTTGAATCTGGTACCTAGAGACACACGTTGCAATTACACAACTCTCTAATCACCCATAAAAGTGTTCCCAATAGTCATTAATCTTATTACTTTTTAATTGTTTTTGGACTGATATAAACCAAGAAGAAATTTCAGCTCATAGACCGCTGGAGAACAATACAAATTTCAGGGATTTAGGGAGCCCCTTAACTAGGTCTAACCTTCACTTCTCCAGTGGTCTGCACCATTTTTGTATCTCTCTCCCTATGGAGGAGATGGAAATTTGATACGTATAATATGAGGAAAAATGTATAATTTGCTTTCCACTAGATTATGGTCTATAGCCTAGTGTAATCATACATGCTGAGGAAAAATATCCTCATGTCTTGCTCCACCTCAGTGGGACTTCCCATGACGACTCAATAGAGCAGCCAAGCTTTCAACCGAGGTTAAACCTCCATTTGAGTAAAAGAAACCCAAATCCAAACAACCAACACCCCCCAAAACCACACTCAGGATAAAAAGGATAAAACCCCCTTGAATAATTTATCTTAAAAACTGTTTCCATTATTTACCATGAATAATATTGGTATCTTAAGGAGGATATTCTTGGATAGTGTGATTGATTGTAACTTAATATTAAATTCCAACACTTTGAATGAGACAGAAAAAGAACCCAAGAAAGAACCAAAATATTAACAGAAAAGGAAAAGAAAAAGTCTTGTTAGTCAGATACTGCTGCTGACAGGAACACTCCCATGTGTTATACAAGCTGTGCTAAGCATATGGTTGCTATCTGATGAATTGTGGTGGGTTCACCCTGGCTGGACACCAGATGCCTACCAAAGCTGCTCTATCATTCCTCCTCCTCAAATGGAGAGGGGCCTGTAGGTCAAAATAAGGACAGGGAGATCACTCACCTATTACCATCATGGGCAAAGCAAACTTGACTTGGAGAAATTAGCTCAATTTATTACCAATCAAATCAGAGTAGGATAATAAGTAATAAAACCAAATCTTAAATGCACCTTCTAGCACCCCTTCTTCCCAGGTTCAACTTTACTTCCAAACTCTGTCTCCTCTCCTTCAGCATTGCAGGGGGACAGGGAATGGAGGTTGTGGTCAGTTCACCATATTGTCTCTGCTGCTTCTTCCTTCTCAGAGAAGAATAACAGAATCACAGAACAATTTGAACTCTATTACTGTTCCAGTGTCTGGTCCCTCACACAGGAGACAGTCCTTCACAAACATCTCCAACATGGGTTCTTCCCATAGGCTACAGTTCTTCATGAACTGCTCCAGTGTGAGCCCATTCCATGGGGTGCAGTCCTTCATGAACAGACTGCTCCAGCATGGGTCCCCACAGGGTCACACGTCCTGCCAGCAAACTTGCTCCAGTGTGGGCTCCTCTCTCTATGGGTCCCCATGCGCTGCCAGGAGCCTGCTCCAGCCTGCTTCAGTGCCTGGAACACCTCCTTCCCCTCCTTCTTCACTGACCTTGGTTGTTTCTGAGTTGTTACTGACAGTTATCAACTGACAGAGTTGTTTCTCTCACATATTCTCACTCCTCTTCTCTGGTTGCTGTTGCACAGCAGCTTTTTACCCTTCTTAACTATGCTGTTTCAGAGGCGCTACCACCGTTGCGCAGCCTTGGCCAGCAGTGGGTCACTCTTGGAGCCACCTGGCATTGGCTCTACTGAACATAAGGGAAGCTTCTAGCACCTTCTCACAGAAATCATCCGTATAGCCTACCCTGCGACCAAAACTTTGCCATGCAAACCCAATATATGGATACAACAAAATCAGTCACTTGTTTAATTCAGTTCTGGTCTAAGTTGGGTAAAAGCAGTCAAATTTATATAGGGAGAAATGTAAAAAAAATGTTTGAAATTAGGCACCCAAATCCATAGATGTGACTTTCAGAGCTGCTAAGTGTTTGCCCCCCTCATGGGTATCAAGCCATTCTTATTTGAGGGCTGAAAATTTCACTTTGAACAGCGTATGTCAAAAGGTGTATTTTGCTGGATGTCATGAATAAGTTTTCCTTGATTAATCAAAACTCCACTTTTCATTCAAAGCTTATTTAATTGTCCTTTTGCCTACATAAAAGAGATAGTAATCTTAGTCTGACCTTGGACTGGCTCTTTGGTGACTGGGAAACAAAGACTGCTGCCCTTCTTTCTTTTTTCTATAACGTAATCTTTCACTGGGGAGCCTCCATCCAGGGCTGCGGAGTTCCAGGTGATGGGTACAGATTCTTTCCTGACATCTACAACTTGAGGCTGAGACACCTGTTTCAGAGGCTCTACAAAAAGAAAATCAAATTAGCACAGTACAATCAGAATTCGTTGACTCCAAATTGTGTGATGTGTTATGTACATCCATATAAGACGCCAAGAAGTCAAGGAGGGTAACTTGTATGTTTTGGTTTATTCATTTTTCTAAAACTAACTAACATTTTTCTAAACACTGTTTAAATATTTCAATTCTTGCACTTATTCAAAAATCATCTCTTTCTGCAATGCATTACAGAGCAGCTCAGAAATGCCTTCCTTAATCCATAGGAAGTTTGGACAGAAATGCAATGTTCTAGGTGAAAAATTATATATATTACTTCAGGTGGTAATTTCAATAGGCCAGACTTGCTTTTGCACTGTGTCTTCTGTGCTACATTCTGGCCTTGGGGAAAGGGGACTGCAAATCTCCTTTCACTGTGGATTCCAATCCAAAAAGGAAAAATAAGAGCAAGAGGTACCTGAACTATAACTCCCAGAAGATAGTTCAACAGCGTTTTCTAACCAAGATAGTTTTTTGCTGATGTTTTTTTTTTGACATGAAACAAAACGATTTTAAGCATTCCCTTTTCTCTCCTCCCACACAGTATTTTCTAGAGAAACACACTTTTCACTTCTGCTGTACTCTACTAAGCTTACGGAATTGACACTAAGTGTATCAGTCAGTCCTCTCTTGTGGTCAGTCCATTCTGAGGGGGTTCTGAGTCCAAAGACACCTGCAGTGAAAGGACCTGGGTATTTCCATGATCCTGGTTATGGAGCAGCCTCTAAGCTCTGTCCTTGAAATCTTGTCCCCCTGAAGCACAGGGTACAGTGCTCTTTTGGGGACTGGCAAGCAGGAAAAGGACAAAAACTATGGGAAACAGGACTGTGAAACCCCACTAAAAACCAGCTGGCTAACAGATTCTCCAGAAAAAGTTTCTGCTGTTTTGAGGGGCTCAATGAGGCCCTCAGAGTTGATGTTACGTATTCTGAATTACTAGGCTTTCCCTTCCTTCACCTTTTCCACAGCAAATGTAGTGTAGTTCATCACCTCTACTTCGATCCACGATTTTTCCTCCAGCCATCTTCCTCTCCATAACAAAGTGAGTCACCTGCTTTCCTCCATCGCCTTTGGGTGCTTTCCATCTCATTTCACATTTTCCTCATGTGTTGCAGGAACTCTGCTTTTCCCTGTGGAGATTTTGGTTTGTCTGCAGTGTGAGCAGCTGACCAGGGTGACATAGGGTCATATCCTATTATTTAAGAGGGTTATATCTTCTCATGGGGTAAGTCAGGGTAGATTACAACAAAACTAAACTATTTGAATAACTTGATTTGGTAACTCAGTCTCTGCCCTGCTGTAAGATTTCTAAAGAGAAAGTCTGAACTTGAGCATGTGTAACCAAACACATCTAACAGTGATTGTCCCGTTATAAAATAATAATTTCGGACCTACCAGTGAACCTGAGATAAGGATTGCCAGAAGCCAAGCCACAGTGATTTTACAAATTTGACAGTGATTTTACATAACGGCTGCAATACTTGCTGGTTTTAGTTTTGACACAGTTACTGGTTTTCTCCACCACCACTTTCTCTTCCTCTGTCACCTCAATATCATCTTTGAACCATGTGACTCTGGCTACTGGCTTTGCCTCAAAAGGCACCTTGATGCTTGCTGTGGCTAGTCTTCACAGTAAGGCTGCGTGCAGTAAAAGCTTGAGGGTAAATTCTTCAATAACAGGAGAATCTGGAAAGAAAAGAAGACATTTGAAAGCTGGAGCTGCAAATTCAGCCTAACATCTTTCCTTTGGCGGCGAGTTCCCAGAAAAGGTTGTCTAAAGTTGGGCCCTTCATTTACAGTAAAAACATTAAGGAGTACGAGTTCTGTATTTCATGAAACTCTTCGGGGATACTCAAAATCTTCAGTATGTTTTGACTCAATTAATTTAGTTCTTGTACAGGGAGCTGGCTGCCCTCCTTTACTTGTTCAGCTCACCAGAGCAAGGGGGACCTTGGGGAAATAGCAAGCCCCAGAGTTCCTCACTTCCTTAGTGCCTGGAGTTTTGACTCCAGGAAGTTCCTCAATCTTGCAAGGCACAAGAAGCAGTCTTTTGTGCTGTTATCCCTAAAGCCACACTGGGATATATATCTATGCTCATCATAAAGAGTCAAAGTTAGGTAGTGCTTGTGAAGAAAATTCTCCCTCATTTGTTAAGAGTAATATGGGAAAATGATAAGAACTTCCTGGTAACAATAAAGAAAAATAACTAGCTTCCTAAACATAATTTGTGTTTTTCCTTTTATTTTTGTCACACAACCTGTATGTTCAGAAATTACAATCTTCTACTGAAAGTCATAAAAGGCATTGAAAAATATCTTTGAATGAAGGAAAATTAACCCTCCCTGTATCTAGGCTTTGCTGTGGATGGGTTTTTACTGCAATACAGGTATGATAAATATTCAGTGTTGCAGACAGAGCATCCTTACTGCTGTGTTTGTCTCGCTGTCTGGGCCGCGGTATCTATCCAACTTGCCTTGGTAGAGCAGACAGAAAGAGGCTTATTTCCGTGTTGCAGGGAAGTCTGAAAGTCCATCTGGCGCCATCTGGCTGCCAAGAGCTGAGTAATACACATATTTATGTATTTCTAGATGTAATTTCAGAAAAGGTTTTTTTCTTGTTGCTGTTGACATTTGAAGTAACGGCTCGGGCCAAAATTCTTGATCACTGATTTATAAACACGGAAACCTATGCTTAGTCACTTAAAATCAACTAGTATGACTGTTCAATTTTCTCCCTTTGTGGAAAGAAGAAGCAGAAAGAGGTTTTGCTCATGCACATAGGTAAGCAAGTAAAATGGTACAGGCCCATGTAAGGAGACCTGGTGAAGCACTGATTCTGCATGTATTCGTGTACAGCTTCTAAAAAGCAGTAAAGGAGATGGGGTGGCTACCTCTAATGGCAACTGTGCCCTTGGCTCTGAATGTCTACCTCCCTTTACACCCCTTTCCCATTCTGTCAATGATGAGTTTGTGAATGGCTCCCTGCCTCACTATCCAGATGCTTTTCATGTCTGTAATGTGACAAGAAGACTAAGGCAGGAATCAAGCCACATTGCAACAAACACTATTTCCAACCCTGTTCCTGAATTCTCTGATCAGTTTCCTATTCTATAATGACTAAGTGGTCAGGATTTCTAGCTCCTACGCTGGTAAAATGCTCTGTGATCTATGGATAAAACAAATTCAGTGTTAAGTCATCTGTGCACCTGACTAGATGAGCCACATGGCATGTAACAAAGGGTGTGCATTATCACTCAAAGAACACAGTTACTCATTACTGTGAAAAGCAGAGACTTCAGAGAAGAACGGTGGGTAGTGAGAACCCAACCTTGTGCGAAAGGATGCAAGTCTATCGGCTAAGAAAAATGGGTTAGCAAATACGAATGTGCCTTTGCAGGAAACTGGGAAGGAAGATTTTGAAAAGGCCAAGATCCAAAGCCGAAACATAGTAAGACTGAGGCTGCAGTAGACTGGGAAAGATTAGGTATGTTCTTGTCTGATCTGCCCATCTGTTTGTCCTTAGTCAGAAGCTCTTTATTTGCACCAGGCCAAGCCTCACAGTAGCTATTTGGAGAAAACGTCCCACTAGGATTTGCAGCCTTACTGATGTTACCATGGGCATGGCATAGCCATGGTATCATCAGGATAGGAATATGACTCAAGGATGGCAAATCATCCTTGAGTCATATTCCTTTCATCTTCACATCATTCGGGACAACACAGAGCTTGGCAGGATCCTCCAGTTAGAGCATGAACATCACACACAAATTCTTCATGGTTGCAAATGTCTCTAGAAGAAATCCTGATGGAAGCATGTGAACAGAAACACTGTGAAGAATGATTTTTAGCTGAGCATTTCAAACACCATGGAGGTATTTAATGGCAAGGAGACCTCTTAACAAAATGGGCAGGCCTTCAGAAGAGCAGTTCAGTAAATCAGACATCCTGGGAAGAAAGGGGAATGGAGAAAGGCTGCTCCTAAGTACTTTTTACCCTTCTTTATATGTGTTCACTGGAGGGAATGCAAGCAATAGGAACACAAAAGCAGGAGCAGAGGACAGCCTCTTGGAACTGCTCCAGACCCATACCTGGTCCAGAGGAGCTGTCAAATCTGCCAAATCTGCCAAACACTTCCTCTACTGCCTACATAATATTGGTATCTGAAACTGAACTCTGCATAGGTAAAGATGAATTTATAACGAAGACACTGGGCTGCAATTCCAGTGTGACACATGAGTCAGAGGCAGCTCAGCCACAGCTTTCCAGGTTACCCGTGCCACTGAAGTGGTTTCTGCCTCAGAGGAGCAGTCAGAGAAAGCTCCTGCTCACGCTGTCCCTTCAGGTCACTGTGGCCATGGCCCACAGAGAGCACTCACATGCCAGGCCTGGTACCCATCTTCCAGGAGCTGGGAGTTCCTTGCCCACTACAGCCAGCCACACTTAACCCTGGCCACAGAATCTTCACACCTGGAAAGCCAGGGTTAGGGATGCCACTAGGATGCCACTCCCTTCTGGACTGTTTAAGGAAAATGAGAAATACTTGGCCAAAATGCAACTAACAAAGTGACCTCCACCCAAGTCTGTACACCAGGACAGGGTTTGCAGGGCATTACCTGACATAGAAAATGCAGCACTATTAGGAAGAGCTAGCCTCACAGAGACATCTGTCAAGGGTGGGCACAGCAGCATATCGATCTTCCATGTGAGAAAATCTGTTTGACCTCACAGCTGAACTTCTTTTGGCCCTGAAGCTTCCACCATACTTATGAATACTCAGTTGTTCCTGAAACTGTGAAAGATACACCAGTATCATTTTATTCTCCTTCCACATAGTTCATTTTAAAATGGTCTTAAAATGCTGCACTTCTTACGGAATAAAAAAACTTGCTGGCACAGTCCAAAGCTGGTTCACAACCAACAGAAGTAACTTCAAATACTAACAGCCACTGAAATCCATGCCCTAACTTTTGTTCTCCAGCCTACAGCATGAAGCTAAGCTTTCCAACTTTTCTTCCTGATCTTAATAGCCTTATGTCTTTCTGTAAAAATCATGGACTTAAATTTATAGCATAAATAATGCTACTGAAAAACTAATTCCCCAAACAAATGCTATATTAAATATTTACCAGCCTCATGTTGTGCTGCTGGTCCTCAGCAGACTGCAGTCAAACGTCCCATGGGTCACTTTAAAGAATATGATAAGAATTCACTAGGACAACCCTGATTAAAGTAAAACACATGGCACACTTTACTAGGCTGGTTTAGGTGACATGTGCAAGGACTTTAATGGAAGATTTACTGCTTTATGTTTTTACCACTTTATACAGCAAAGGGAAGTTCTTAATTATTACCTTAACGCTACTGAGAGGGGGGACAGACTGAGGGCTTATTCCACATTAAACGTAAAATAGACTACAGGGTAATGTTATTTCATGTCAGTTTCCTAGCTGTTATAGCAAAGCAGCACTGCTCCTCTGCCTGAAGAGTTCACTGGAGAACACTCTCTCTACACTGTTCTTCAGTGTCCTATTCTTCCTCTTGAATCATTCACACTTACCTTCCAGTTACACTGGCACTGCTCATGGGGGTCACTGTCTTGCATAGCCTACGACCTCTGTGCTAATCTCCTGAGTCACTCGGCTCAGCAGATTAATGATAAGTTGTCCTCTCTTCCCTTCATGCTTCAATGGTGTACTTTGGAGACCTTTCAATCACTCGTCCATTCTTCATCCTCTTCAGGCTGATATCTTCAGAAGCCAGCACACACTCCCACCAGGCTTCTCCTTTCTTTTTTGTTTGAGTGTTCTTAAGATCACTGACAAACTGAATTAGAACCCCTGGAAAAGGGCAAGGGGCTGTCAAGAAAAAAATGGCACATACCAGTAAGCTCTTCATGGATCAGAATAAATGGGTTGGGCTTTTGCAAGATATAACATAGGCTTCTGCGCAGCAGACATTCTAGGCTTCCAGTGTGAAAAGGTCTTGATGCTCCTCTGCTTGCTAGTCCACATACTAGCTTTATGAGACTGGGGCTTCCAGTTTTCTCAGCCCAGTCTCTGAGGTTTTGCACTTTAGCTTTATGGATTTTGCAGCTCAAATTCACTGTCTTGTGTTTGATCCACTAACTGCCCAAAGATACTTAATTTGCATTACTTATGAAGAGCAGAGTGTTCAGCACTAGATCTCCAGTCTGATCTGAGCTGAAAACTCTTAGTTTTCACAGTGTGGGTCAAGCCATCATCAGATGTGATGATTTCATATTTATTGTCAAACTTCAACTCTTTCCCGCTGAAATTCTAAGTGAAGTTTGTTTGGCAGGGGGATTTCAAACGCTGCTGTCTTTCAGTGGTTTCAGTTCTACCAGGAGTTAGGGACCCACCTGTTAAAATACCAAAAAGATAAACATTCACTCTACTATTTTTAGTTTCTGATCTCAAATTTCCTACACTAAATAGCAAGACATCAATGAAGTAATTTTGATTTCTTTCTGGAGTGATAGGAGAAAGATCAATTTATTCCTTCAATTTCAGTGGAAATTAAGCTACAGTTCATTATTTTCAGTGAAAGCTGCACATAATCCCATGAAGCTAATTACCAACAGACGCACTGCTTTTCTGTTCAGTTCTTCTGTCTTAGCTCTGCTGTTTCTTCTCCTTTGCTGCAGGTCATTGTAAAGCAAATGGTTGCAGGGAACCTCTATAAGCATACCTGGAACCATTTGGCAAGCTGAAGGAGGGCTGACATCTTCCTGTGCTATCCATCAAGAGTGCTGCAGTGCCTGGCACAGGATCACTATTTGGCTTAAATAAGGTAATCTACCATACTACCAAATAGCCTGTGCCCAAGCTGTGCTAAAGGCTTTATTAAAAAGTACTATATTTAAAAAATGGTACTTACAGCAAAGCTCTGTCCTACTGCAATGAAATGTAGGGCAGATGGGCAATATCAGTTTTACCTGGTGTTGATTTAAAGCAAGTTTTCTGTACCTAATGTGGTTGGGTTCTTTCAAAGAGCAGCCACGCATTTGCCTGGTTGTAGGAAGCATATGCAGATGAATAAGGAATGTTGTCATTATGCCCAGGCCTATCACTCCCAAGTCCTGGAACATTGTTTATGCAAAGTTCACTTCCACTAAAAGAACGGTGCCAAGGTGCATTTTATCATTCCCATCTTCTCCACTAAAACTGGTCCAAAGTCAGTAGTGACTCACCCCCCCTGCCACACTGACATCAGTGGAGAATTTGGCTTATTATGTGTAATAACTAGGCCTCAAACTGAAGACTGCTGTCTTATGAAAGGTGTTTTCACATAGATACTCTGGTAATTGAGGGTGAGTTTATGGCTTGTACAGTGTTATATTTATGTTTGAGCCTAAAAAGACTAGTGAATCATGAATGTTGCAAGGACATATAAGAAAAGAAAGTAGGTCACAGTTTGGCCAACCAATTTTAACCATCAAATGTTTGTTTCAGATCTTGATATTGCACACAGAGCCTCATGTATATGAGTATGAAGATTACCAATCGCTCTCAGCATAACAGAGTTTGTCAGACACAAGAAGACTGTAGGTGTGAGGTATTTCCCATTCACATTGGTGGTGCCACGTATTTCATACACATATGCTTCGTATCATTTTTTTTTCATTGAGTACAGGGAACACAAAGGCTCTTCCCCATAAGCATAATGCTTGTACCTTTGGAAACATGTTCTTTTTGTGCAGTGGATGCAAAGGGCAAGACACACAGTGCTCATTTTAAAGTCAGCAGGGGGTAGAGTCTTTCATCCTGCTTCACCCCACTCTACTTGCAGCAAATCTGTCCTGCAAAGACTCTCGATTTTGTCTAACTTCACAGTTCTTCCAAGCTCATTTATTAGTTACTAGTCAAGCCAGACCTCTAGAGCTTACCTTTAGTTATGATCAAGGGGACAGTGTAGATGGCATCAGTGGACACAACACACTTGTAGTTATTTGTATCATCTCAGAAACAGCATTCAGATTGGAAACAAAAAAGTATTTGAAAATATTATTTTAAAGTAGAATTATTGCAGTAGACTGACTGAAAACAGGGACATTTTTATTACTGCTGAGGAATAATGTATTTTTTCTTTTTTACAGTTTTTATTGTGGGAATAAAAAAAGAAAAAAAAAAGAAAGAGCTAATGGCAAGAATAAAAGGTGTGTTACCTTGGCACATACTTCTTAAAATACATTCCACTGGTACCCACTTTCTCTTTTCCATGTTACATCAGGCTTTGGTTTACATTGAACTTTAGCTCATAATATTGCTTTGTCTCATAAAATTCAAGAAGAAACTTCGGAATTAACAAATGAATGAGTGAAATACAAGAGAGGCCTGTTACCTACTTTGTCTACTTTCACTTTAAATACATGGTTTCTTTTCCTGTCAGCTTTATGGAGATTAGATTAACCTTGTTTTACTTTACTTACTGTACTTCTTACAACCTCACATCCATCACAGATACTACTTCAGGAATGAAATTTGTTCATTAGCAGCACTCTGCACACTGACAGGAATAATTTGTGATTTTTTGTGATATATAATAAAGACTCATAGGATCTTTCTGTCCCTATGGACACCCACAGATCTGTTGTATGGGAGAGATTATACACAACTGAAAGTCATATTTACATATGCATTAAAGGTCAAGCTCTTCCAGCCCCAGACTCTTCCCCAAAGCATTTGATCACAAGTTTTGCAGAAATAAGAACAGGAGTATTTAAATCAGTAAGGACCACCATTTTAACAGTTCCTCCTTTCATCTTAAAAATGGAATTCCCTTTACTCCTAATTTCTTTTGCACAATCAAAATTCTCATCCTTGGCCACAGATTTTCTGAACATGAAAATATTACAGTTAAAATCCACGCGTCTGTGCCAGCTAAGGAGCAGAAATGGCTGGTAAGAAACAGATATTTAATAAGGGAGTGGAAACAGATATTTTATTAAGGGAGTGGAACATCTCCCTTATGAGGAGAGGCTGAGGGAGCTGGGTCTCTTTAGCTCGGAGAAGAGGAGACTGAGGGGTGACCTCATCAATGTTTACAAATATGCAAAGGGTGAGTGTCAGCATGATGGAGCTAGGTTTTTTTCAGTGATGTCCAGTGATAGGACAAGGGGCAATGGGTACAAACTGGAGCACAGGAGGTTCCATGTGAACATCAGGAAAAATTTCTTTACTGTGAGAGTGACAGATCACTGGAACAGGTTGCCCAGGGCGGTTGTGGAGTCTCCTACATTGGAGATATTCAAGGCCCGCCTGGACAAGTTCCTGTGTGATGTACTCTAGGTTACCCTGCTCTTGCAGGAGGGTTGGACTAGATGATCTTTTGAGGTCCCTTCCAACCCTTGGGATTCTGTGATTCTATGATTTTCTAAATGATTGGGCTATTACCTTTCATTATCCTTCAGTCAGGAAAGCAAGCACTGTGTTCGAAAAATTGCCCTTAACAGTAAGTGGTAAGCTTTTGGAAGCCTTGTCAAATTAACAAGAGTTCCTGTTTCTTGATGAGACTGGAATCAACTTCGAGAGTCCAAAAGGCTGCGCTTGAAGGATGTGACACTCTCTTACATCCCATCACCGTGACTCAATGTGCCCATACCTTGACTCTGGGCAAGAAAGAAAACAAAATGATAATGCAGACTGCTGTGCTTAGTAACACAGATATACCACAGGCACTCTGCAGAAAGATTAACTTCACTCATAACGCATATATACACAGAACGGGATGATCGCACTGTACTTACTATGGATGTTATTAACAGAATCTGTGCACATTTACAGGGCAAAACAGATCTCAAAGAAAAGATTTGTCAGTACCACTGAAGTACACACAACAAAGACTTGGTGCAAGTGGATTGCAATTTTAGTTTCAGTTACAGAAGGCAGAATTTGACAAGTTTGACTAATTCTTTTATAGCTAACTGAATCTTCCCTACAACATTCTTTTCGCAGCTCTTTTACTTTTGGTTTTAAGTGCCTCAAGGAGCTATACTTGAGACTGATACTTCACAAAGTTCCTTTCTTGGAAAGGAAGGAATGGAAAAGCAAAGCAGATGAGACTAAAGCTATTCATCTCACACAGCCAATTTCTACCCTGGCTGCCCACAGCCATAGAATATGAAGTATTAGGACATTCTTGAGAACATATGCTTACATATATTTTGCCTTTTTTTTTTTTTTTTCTCCAAGATGCTAAGGTCCTGATCATTCCTACAAAAAGATAGAAGCTTTCAAGGCCATTAGTGACCCTTCTGTGTTCCTCAGCTCACATGAAGTCCTGCAGATAGTTGCATTCCTAGGAAGATACCTGGGTCCCTTTACACTGGACATATAAGACTTCAAATAATCCAAAATTTAGATACATATTGGCCTCTTCAGGGCTATGATGTTTCACCCTTCACACTGGCTTCAGCAGTTTATCATTCTTGGAATAATAGGATGATAAAACTTCAAGTACGAGGCTAAAAGGAATAAAACTTCTGTAGGACAAATGGATACCTTTTTAAAAGAAACCAAACCAACAAACATTACCTCCCCAACCCCAGATTTTGCTACAATTGATTGTGACACCATTTAAAAACTTTGATCAAAGGCAGACTATTAAACAATTTAACAGCCATATTAAAAGCCAAATATGTTGGTCCAGGTTTCACACAGTTAAACATTCAGCAAATCCTGCTTTGGTGTTTAAGTCAGTCCTCTGTGCTCCTTTCACACCTCAGTGAAATGGCCAGGCTTTGGCTTTAAGTTCTAGTGGCAGCAGTCTCCACCATTTCCAAATCCAGCCAGTTCATTCAGTTACTCAGTCAGGGACTATGCTCTTCAGAGTATCAGTTCACAACTTTAGATTACAGAGGTCATTCCTTAATCAATTCTGTTTTACTCCTTAATAGGTCTTAGATTCTATCACACTTTGTCATACGGAGAAGGGCCTCATTCCCAACAAGTAAGGTACTTTTCAAGAAAAGAACGAATTACAGATCCTGCTCTGTGTATTTGGCTCTCTTACAAGTGCTAACAGCTGCAGTGCTGAAATAGTATAGGTACAAGAGGCTGTGTGGGGCCTATCCACTCTGAAAGACACAAACTACATATATTTCTTGCAAAGAAGGCTAAACCAGTGGCAATAAACTGCTTCTCTGAACTGACCACATGATTTGACTGCTATTATCTATTCTGTACTTTTGTTAAATTACAGTGAAGAGGGAGTCTAGAGCATTAAGCATCAGGGTTGTGCCTTGCAAAACACAGGATCTTAGAAAACCAAAGAACATAAAAACCTGGCCACAGACTAACAGGAATAATTCTAGGGGTAAACTTCAGAAAAAGCAACAGAAACATGTCCCTCTTACCCCTCTAGGAATATGCCATCTTTCCTGATGATTATAAGATGATTTCTGCTAGTCTAAGAAAGGGAAAGGTAAAAAAAAAGCCAACAAAACAAAACCACCACCACCACCACCAAAAAGATTCCAGCAAGACATAGGCTCTGTGTTCCCCTCTCTAGAAGTTAGTGTTATTAACACTGATGCATTTCTCAAATCAGAGATGTGTGGAAATGGGATTGGTAATGCTGCAAAGTGGGTAAAGTATTTCTTATTACTTGTCTAATGAATCTATAAGGAAACAAAATTTCACTTCCTTCTTCAATATTCTAACTCAGGAACAAATTCGGAGAAACCTGGTATCTGGGCTGGAAGTCACATTTTCCCCCAATAAAAACGAAACACTGCCAACCCAATCCAATTCCTCACACCTATCCAAACTGACTCAAAACCCAGGCAGCCCTTTTCCGTGTTCATTTCACAGTGCTTGTGAATCTTCCCTCATGCTTCTGTTCTTCCTCCAGCTACTGTGGCACGTTGAGTGGGCATGTGCTTATCCACATGGGGAAAACCAGTGCATGTGAATGAGATGGTCTTTCATTTTGGACCTTAAGTCTGACCACACTGCCAGACACAGACCTCAAAAAGGGAAGGAGTGACTCTGAATGACCTTTTCATTACTCTGACCTTTGTGATGCTTGGGTGTTTTTGCTCTCCATATTCCTCACAATAGCCTAAAGACCAAGAAGACAACAGTGGATGAAGTGAAATCAATCACGTCTGGTTTTCTTTCTGACACAGGAGTCAAAGCTAATTTACACGAGGAGGTTTCTGTCGCGCTGTTGTGCCTTATTAGTTCTGACTTAACTCCTGACAGTCTTCCTTGTGTCCACTAGAGGCAAACAAGTATGCAAAGGAGAAAAAGCACAAGCACCTATGCAGGACTTTTTTCCTCTAATCTCTGGAGAGAAGTGCTTCCTTTGCCTTTTCAGAGGAAAGCAGACACCCTGCAGCTGCTATTGGGACTAGGGGAGTTAAGGTCAGACATAGTAAGAAAATTTTGACTCAGGCAAACACTACTGTTTCTCAAAGGATAAATGCCTTTAGTAAGATACACAGTACTGCAAATTTCTCTGTGATAAAAAAGTGATAAAAAAGCAATAGGGAACAAAGGCTGAGTAGCATGATCCCATGGAGTGAAAGGGCCTGGAATTGCAATACCTGAGTCTTTTGTCTGACTGTTTACGCTTTATCTTCTCAAATGCCCTGAGCCATAAGGCCAGCTCTGCTGCCCACAGAGCTTTTAATTTTGAGTAAATAATTCAGCCTTTTTCTGCATTGATCTTTACTATTAGCTGAATAAACCTGGCACTGCTGCTCTGCTGAGAATTATATGGTGCACAAGCTTAGGCAGGTCTTCTGCACTAAAGTTAATTGTGCCCCGTTCTGTTACTTTCACACCATGCCATGAGGATGCGGCATTGGCTGTATTCAGGTGCTGGAGTCTGGTCTGTATCAGTACTCAGAAGCAGAAGGAATTCACCTCTTTGTTAATATCTGAAATTCACCTGGAGATGTTAGAAATCAATGGTTGTGTTGTCTAGAGCATGCAGTTCTCTTTGCCTGTCCCTTAACTCAGGAAGCTGCATTCACTCACATATTTCTTCTGTGCTTTTGAATGGAGCTATTTTCTTGCAGGACTCCTGAGCTGCCCTACATTATCCTGAGTTGCTAGTCACACAGACATCAGCAAATATACGTCTACAGAAGAAACAAGGTTATCCCCAATGTATCTCAAAGCATTATATTTTTCTCTCTAGCAAATGTGTAACGCACATTTCATGTCAAGCATAGAGACAAACATAGTTATGGCTAACAAACTGTAGATTTACCATTTCTCTTCATTTAAAATGGTTTCCAGGAAATAACACATAAAAAAATAATAGTGCAGGTCCACTTCTAAAACCTGTTAAACTCACCAATTAGCAGGTATACGCTTTCTAAGACCACATGTGTGCAAGCTACATGGTTCCTTCACTGCAAAGACAGTAGGTCCCGTCTAGTGATCTCTTTGGTCTCAAGCTCTTTTACAACTGCAAGTTAAGATTTTTTGCAACTGCAAGGTTAAGATTTTCCAAAGTAGACTAATTGTAGTGGAAATGTGCAGAACTGTTAGCTACTTCTGAAACTCTTGCAAGTAAATATAACTGCTAGGTAGTTTCGGAGTAATTTGACTAAGTCATCTTTATCTTGATCCTTCAGAGACATGAAGGATCCTTCACCTTTACCTGGAGACAACTCTTACTCTCAAGTGCAATATTAGTTTTTGTTCTTACATAACTGTGCATCTGCTGATTTCAGAGAACCTATAAAAGAACAGAGGGTATCATTAGTCTGTTACCATGACAGAAGCATAAACAGGGTAACACTGCTTAAGTGCAATGGCCAATGACCAACTGACTAGCAAACAAGTAAGGCACTGAGCTAGGCTTTGCTCTGTTCACAAAGTATGAAAAAGCTTTTGAAATAGACATCACAGTTGATTCTAAATAAAATTATCACAAGTTTTGTTATATGCTGACCTACATGGAGAGAGGAATTCAGTCCTCTGGGGAACAACTTTGCAGGCATTAATGCTGTAGTCTCCAGTACAAAGACACCTAGACACTGAGCTGAAGAGAGTGAAGGAAATGTGCTAGGAATTTTCTTTTAACACAGAGAGAGTGCCCAGTAAAAAGGGAAATCTAATAAGACACATAGCTTCACTTAATTCCTATTGTCAGCTCAGTTTCAAACTTATTGACTACAGAAGCAGCAGCCCCGCTCATCTCAAGTGCTTCTGCATGGCCACAGCTCCTTTCTGCTAATCTCAGACACCAAATTCTATTAAAAAAAAAATAAAAAATGAGAGAGAAATACATTAATTACAGTAAGACTGAAGAGTATATAGGAGGATTAGGTCCAAATCTGTTAGACAAAGTAACAAGGCATTTCAATATTTTGATCCTAACCAAGTGGCATGCTCTTGCCTGGTGTGAGATAGCAGCACTGAAGCCCTTGTAACCAGACTGTGCAACTAGGCTGACACTTGCTTTGTATTAGTGAATGAAAACAAAGCAGCCTGATTTTATCAATGGATACTTGCTCAGGACATTCCACATATGTAGAACAGGAGTGGAGAAGAGGCTAAATTTCCTTCATTGGTATAAATCATTCTCTTCTACTAAAATCAGTGAAGTATTGCCACGTAATACCTGCTGAACATCTGTGCAAGGACCTCTAAAAGTTAGTATCTTAGAGCCCTTTATACTTTTGTTTGCCATAAAGCAATTGACTGCTAGAATGCCTCCTTTTACAGGAGGCAACTTATACACAGAACTTTGCTCCTATATGCACACTCCTATCAAATATCAAAAACCATGATTTAGCAGATGCACAGGAAGCTGATGCCAGAACAAGTAATTTTATTCACTGAGTTATGACACTGAAGGGCACTGAACAGCTGAAAACATTTATAGGAATTTCCACTTACAAAGTTATTCAGAACATCAGTGGTGCCTCTTTTATTTCTAAGGAGTACTTAGATGGAATAGTGTTATCCCTTTGAAAGAATCAGTAGCAATGGGGAGAATACAGCTAGCAAGGTTTACATAAAACTAACAGTCATGTTATGCTCAAAAGCTTAAATTTATTGCTCTATTTAATGAGTACCACCAGTATTTTTTAAAAGAATGCCAGTTCTTCCTGCTAGCTTCTCACTGAAGAAAATATTTTAAATACAGCAATAAAATCAAGTGGTTTAAAGATAACACATTTTGCCACACATTCATGCAAACCCTGCTGACAGGATTTTTACAGGTTCATGGGTACAGAATAAACACAAAGATGTGTACTGAAATACTGGGAAACTTTCCCCACAGTGATGAAGTTGTAGGCTTAATATTTCAGGCCCTACCCTGCACCTATTGACGTCAATGGCAAAATCTCAGTGGAAGCAGGATCAGCCCTTATTGTTCTGAGAGCTGCTTTACCTTCTCCTGATTAGGAAGTGCAGTAAATTCTCAGAATCTCCTGCACTAATAAAAGCAGTGGGTTTTGGTTATTGTTACAAATAAAGAGAAGCAAAAATATTTTTAGTAGATCATTATAGCTTCTGTTCATGAACCACTCATCTTTCATGTTAAGGCTCCTGTGTACCTCCATTTTCCTGTGCTCGATAAAGCACTTAAACATGTGTTTACCTCTAAGCAAAAAGCACAAACTGAAGTCTTTACAGCCTGATTGAGGTCTAAAAAGAAAAGCATGGGCAGTAGTCTGTATTATTGAAAAGGAAACACTGCTGTCTGGACTAGTGATTAGAACGGGCTAATGATTGTCTGAATTTGGTTTAAGAGCAAATTTATCAGAAAGCAGCCAGCACATTCACAATGATTTTTTTTTTTAAGCTCTCTATAGGATTTGCATTAATTTAAACGAGCACTGAGCACCTCATCACCCTCAAAGTTTTGAAACTATTTCAATTTCATATAATACAAGTGATTTTATTACATTTTAAACAAAGATTAACTTAACTCAGCAAATTCCGCACACGATTTTAAACCTCAAATTTCAGGGGAAATTGTATTTGGATTGTCATCTGGCTACGTAAAAAGAGAAACTATTCGCAAAAATCAAATCCGGTGGCTGAATGAGATGCCAAAGTATTGACAAAGAAAAGGTAAAGCATGAAGAATTTCTGTTCAGGTTAACTTCTACTATGATCCTCAGATTCACCCAGCTGTCATGATACTGGGGCACATTGCTGGTAAGATCTAGAGGTAAGAATCTGACTAATATCATTGAAATATTCCCCCCTCTACCCCTTAGTTCTGATAACACTGGTGATGGACTGCTTTAGAAAAAAATAAACAAGCAAAGATGATGTGTGAAACGTCATTTCAATGTGAATCTACTTGAACCTTTCAATGCAGAGGCTCAGAAGGTTTACGATATACACAGTATTCGGTAATTTTATATGTAAAAACAACCAGAAATAGGCAAAAAGTTACTTCCAAGCTTAGTCAATATACGCCACATTTCAGCATGACAATTCAAAAAGTTTCACACTGTATTTGAATATATTAGCAATGATCTTTTAAAAATAGCAAACTGAAGACAGTGGATTTTTTTCTGTTTTTTTTTTTCTTTTGTAACAAATGAAGCTACTATTCTTATTTACAGTATAAATAAGCCATTTTTGGGTGAAGATTATGTCCTGTCACATATGTTTAAGACAAGGCGTACCTCAGGTCTTAAATGTCAATGCAAACAAGAGCATAAAAGCAATATCAAAGTAAAATAATATATTTTTCCAGCTAAGACAGCCAGGTTACCATGTGTCTCTTATCAGATCTGAAATATATCTGAATGCAGTCAAAACTTCTCTTGGTTTTAGCCTTTAGGAATATCATGAACATTTATTCTTCTGCAGCTCTAGAAAGCTGTTTTCCATACAAGCTCATGACATGATGGACAAATTGATACTGTTCACAAGTCTGGATCATTCCTCCCCTGAAAAGGAAAGAAAAAAAGGGGAGGGAAACAGTAGCCTTATTACATGCAAACATATGAGGAAGTGGCACAGCTAAAATGAAGCTTGCTACACACAAAAGGTCTCTTCCAAAGATTCCTGGAATAGCGCCCATTCACTGATTGCAATCAGCTTACAGACTGACCTCCAGCTCCATTTTGAAAGTCTCTGCTAACCAAGGAACAGAAGATAGTCAGAACAGGAACGGGCTTTACCTTCATTTTTCTTTGCAGAGGCCCTCATCCAGTAAGGCAATACCATTGTCATTTACATTCATATCACTGGAGCACCTACAGTCCAAGCACCATCTTAAACACCATGAAAAGCAATCCCCACCCCTACGCTCTAGGCAGATAGATGGGAGCAGGGGGGATAAAGAGGGCAAGTAGTTTATCCAAGATTTCACAACTGCATTAGGGACTGAATTCAGGACCATAGAGGGCCAGGCTAGGCGAGACAACTGACATATCATAGAATTTTCGCATTCTGGAATGAGGGTTCTTTCCTCCACGCCATCCTGCATTGCTCATTTGGCAAGTTCACCAGGGAACTAGGGGATGGCCAGCAAGTTTTAGAACAGACAATGGAACTTTAATGAAAGACACTCAGATTTGTAACTGAATTGGCTGCTATGCACACCTGGATTGATAAGACCCCAGCACAGAAATCTGTTTTGGTTCAGCTTTTAATTCAGCTTCAGCTCTTTAAAACTGCAAACATGAAAGGAAATGCAAGCAGAATAGTCTGCTTTTCCATATATCATTAGCCTCTCTGTATTTGCAAGTGGCATATTAATCAACATGAGTACTACAACGGGAGATAGAAATGAACAAAAAGAACTAAAAGTTGTCCATTTTAAGCAGATTTTACTAACATTTAAAATTCTGCTAAGAGTACCTCAGCAACAGTGATAAGAGCTCTTGATAACCTATTATAATTAAACCACATGATTCAAATTCACAGGAGATGTATGTGGAATTGTGCCGGCATTGGTGCTGGTGCACAGATGCCAAGAACACAATTCCAAAAGGAGGCTGAAACAAGTAGGATTGAGGAACATGGGAATCCATGGGTGATCAAAGCCAACCAGACTGTGCCAGTCTGAGGGAAAACATATATGGTGCATTCCATCAGAAACCTTCACCAGAGGAAATGAATGAAAAGTTGCTTCCTTTGGGCCAGATGGATAACAGACTGCTAGCACCCTCCCTGGGGACTACCCTTCTCTATAGGGTTCAGCTTCACCTGTGCACTGTGGGTCACACAATAACCATACCAGTAAGGTGTAGATGAGTGTGTAAGTCAACCTCATCCTTCAGCCTTTTGAAGTTATTTTGTTAAGTGGCTGCTTGAAGTAACACTTGACAATGAGCAGGGGATGGCAGGAATCCATGCTCCATCCTCTCATCAACAAGCAAAGGTGGAAAAACACGGTGTTTCAAAAGAAACTATTCCCTAGCTAAGCATCTCCTTCCCATCTTAATATAAGCTGACAGTCAAGCTGTTTCTGAGCCCTTCTGTGCTGCACACAGCACTGAAATATATTTATGTCAGTCCATGACACACAAGGAGCGTTAGTCATATCTGGCAATTACTTTTCATGCAATTCCATTAACAGTGGGTTTGCACCCTGAAGTTGTAGCAACAGAAGCACCAGGGTGGCCGCTAGGAATTATTTTCCTTTTTATGTGGTTTCCTGCTATGCGGTGGCTTCCTCCCCTTCCCACATACATGCACATCATGACACGTGCTTGCTGTCCAGGCTTTGGCACAGAAAAGAGAAATTACATTTTCACTCCTACCTGCCACAGAAACCTTTCAAATCTGAGTTGCACTATGGGAAATAGCAACAAATATCTCTCAGCACTGTGGGAAGGATGCAGGAATGATCACTTCCTCTCCTTAGTCAATACTGAGTTATTTTAGGACCAGCTGCTGGCCACTGGTGCAAAGCCCAGTGCATGTAATTTTTCCAAGGGATCTTCACCCTCACAGCAACCTCAAAGGTGGTTCTCAGGGCTAATGTCAACTCCACTACTCCTGTGAAGCAGTGAGGTGCATTCCTTTATATATCTGCTCTGGTCTATACCCAGCCCTCTTTCCCTAAGTCCTTAGTGACTCCTTCCCACCAACCCTATTTTCTCTAGCTAGCAACCACAAGACAAGAGGATGAGACAGAATGGGTCTTCCTCCCTGTAAGCTGCTTGGATACTGTCTTATTCTTTCATGTTGCTTCTGACGTCACCCAAAGCTTTTGTGGGGGTTTAGTGAAATGACAGTGGATGGCAGCATGACTGCCAAGAAACTACAAGGCCCATTTTCCAGATGTTGAGGAAATCATGCTCTTCTGTAGCAAGGATGGTGATTTGACTGTTTTCCATCTGGAGTATTTTCCCCCATGACATTCAAATGGCTTTTTCCTATCCCACCCCACTCCTAAGAAGTGCATGGCAGCTATGGAGGTCCCTGTAGTCCTTTCCTTCCATGGCATTCTTTAAAGTATGATCTCCCTTTTTCAGCCTCTGTAAATGACTGCCAGTTCCCCTCACCCTGCAAAGCTAGTATTTTTAATTGATCCTCTGTATCACGTACATTTGTAGGCATGTGTTGTCAACCTTTATTTGTATGGCTATTTTTTCCTCTGCAACATTAGTCACAGATACACAGATATTTCAGATCCAGCCAAATATTTCACTGGGTCATGGATAATGAGCACTCAATATTCATTTTCTGGTATTCTTCTCAAGAAGCCTTTCCTTGTCTGTCCTGAAATCCACTGAAAGAGCCAAACCTCCAAGCCTCTGTAGGTCCCTGTCTATCAGAGCCTCAGCAGGGCAGCAAGCATTTCATTTTCTGCCTCCCACTGAGCATAATTTCTCCTCTGAAATAAAGTTCAGCGTGGGGTTAAGATTCTTTTTTTTTTTTTTTTTCTGCTCAGAAAAATCTCTGGTGTGTTTTTCATGACATCCCCTAACTACATTTATCATTATCATTAGAGAGAGCACTGAGACATGTTTTGATGGCACTTGAAATCAGTAGGAGAGGAAAAATAACATCTCTGGTACAAAACTCAAGTCTGTTTACTTTATAATCAGACTCAAGGTGGTGTGCTAAGAAATGCTTAACTGTAAGACCATTGAATTTCTGGAGAATTTCACAGCTTCTTTCATAAGTATGCAAACACTCCAGGCTGTCCATACTCTTCCTCTCCCTGCAATGTCCCAAGCAGTCATGCTGTCTCAACAGTGCTCACAGCTCCACATATACAAGGCCACTTTTCTTTACTCCCCCCTGGGAACAAAATGCTGATCTATGGCTCTGAACTTAAGTACAGAAGACCTTTGAGGCTTTGCTTCTGTACGAACATGGGGCCAATTCCTCAGCTGGTGAACAACCATCCCTTACTGCATTGAGCTGTGCAGCTATGCTGATTTTGATGCCACTTGTGAATCTAGCTCACTTCTGCAGCTATTCATTAAGCCTTACTGCTCATAAAATAGACAAAAGACTACAAGTCAGAACTGCTTAGAACATGAAAGCACCCTCCAACGTTTTCTCTCTTGGCCTCCATTTATGTTTGTTCCTCCCCTCTTCCCACTTGTTTCTCCTTCAGTAAAGGGAAAGATTACCATTTTTCTTTTTATTTTTCTGGAAAGAAAACAGGCTTTCTTACCTGTCTAACCGTAACTGGCAGGCTGTTCGCAATATGTCAACTATGCCCTCGCTCTTCAGCTGTTTACAGCAGACACTAGTTGCAATAAAGCAGCCAGTCCTCCCGATGCCTGCACTAAGGTAAGGAAAAGCAGAGAGAGGCAGTGGAGATGTTAGAATGGCTTTGGAACTTCCTTGTTTAATGAGTGCCATTAAACCAGCAATCAAATCCCATTATCCCTTTCCTCCCACCAGTCTTTGCAGGGTGCTTGCAAATATAAACCCTTAACTAGGAAAAGATACTAACTTCAACAGGAGAACAAAATAAAGCATGAGCCACTCACAGCAAAAGAGTGAACACTGCACATACAGTGCTAAAAACGGAATATTAATGAGTATCGTTTGACCCAGTATGCCATTGAACCTGTCACTGAACCACTGTAAACAAGCCGTTAAACGGTATTTCTTAGTTAGACTTAGTTTGAGGGCACATCTTGCTTTGAAGACAACCTTTGTTTTGAGATTCTTAATCCTAATAGCTTCTTTGAAAGCTATTTTCATTCACATGTACAGTAAAAAAAAAAAAAAAGAAAACAAACAAAAACCAAGCAAACAACTCTTGCTTAAATAATTAGAGCTAACAGCACTACGGCAAATGTGAAGTCATTTGCTGGTCAGATCTACAGTTCTCCGAATTAGTGAAGGATACAACAAATCCACTATTAAAGAAATTTCTCCCTTTCCTGAGCACCTTTATACTGATTCAGCCCTTGCTTAATGACCAAAATTGATTTTATTCTCAAAGGCACAGTGCTATTGAAGCTGTGAATTCTTCTTATCACCTAATAAAAAAACCAGCAGCAAAAGCTGAAAGATCTTCTTATGTGTTAAATAATTAAGTGAGCATACTCGGGAATAATGACTTGACGCAACTGCAAGAAATCCTGCTTCCATTTAAACTGTGCTAAAGTTGTAATATAAAAACATTGGCAACAAGTCTACAAGGAACAACAGATTTTGCAGTTAGCTGCTACTCGCAAAGTCCTAATACTGGTTTTTTTTTGGCTGTATAAACAGTTTTTTTACTCTGAGTTTATGCTTGTTGGGAAAACAGCTACATTGGAATCATTTTAATTTCTAGTACAGAATGATCAAGGCAATTCAATGCAAGTTTGGGAGATGGTATTATTAAGAACTCATCTCAGTCTCCAAATAACTGTATGGAGGCACCTACGTGGCTTAAAATTTTTGTCTCTGAAGCTCTCTATGCCTCATGAACTGACTCTTTTATTTGTTACTTCTAGTTTGTTAATTATAACTTCAAACATTTCAGGTAACTCTTTGCTGCATGTGCATATTCATCAGTGGTTAAAAAGGAGGAAAAAAAAAATCTGCTAATTGATGCCATAACCAAACAGGTCACAGTACACAGTTCTTGTATACAGTTTCCTATCCATAGACTTCAGCGTGTTTTGCAAAGAGAGGTAACACCACCTGTTTTTAGATAAAGCAAACAGCACTAGCAAAGCACTTGTCCTAGGACAAGCTGCAGGTCTCTCAGTGGCTGAGATAAATCCCTCCAAGACTGCCCAAGAGTGGCACCTTATCCACAGGACCTTCAACAGGACTACTAGCCTGCGTGTAACATGAAGCTGCTTTTAAGAATAGCTTCCTGATTAGGTTTGTATTTTTATTTTTTTTTTAAGGTGCATTATGTTACATCACTGAAGGCCTCAACCACAGCGATTATGTTCTACTGAGGATCTCCCACAAAGGTCAAAATAGCTACCGTACTCTCTGTAACATGGGCCTTGGCTAATGGCTTGCTGCATAAACCACTCTCAAATAGAGGCAGTGTATTAAATTCCTTCTTCAGATAAAAGTGATTGCAACTGGAATAATCTGAAAGGGCTTTGGTCCACATTTATCACATATAATACTTTATAATCCTATCACCATGTCTCTTAGTAATTACTTCAAATAAAAATGCCCCGTTTCCCCCCAGATTATTACTGTGTCATGGGGATGACACTATACAAGAGGACACAACAAGTATGCAAAGCAAGAGTGACATGGTGACCAGAATCTTTACCTGCAGCAAATACCATAATACTTCAAGGAGCTCTTAGAGAGTCACAGATTTCCAAGGACAAAGGGGACCGTCTTACAAACCATTTCTTATTTTCTCTGAACTCTCCCCAATTTGTCAAAATCTGTTTTAAAAAACAGGCAGAAAAACTGGACATGTGGCATCATACGAACATTTTACTAGCGATTACTCCATATTAGCTTATAGGTGGATCTTTGATGACACTGGGCTACCAACCATTCATGCCAAGACTCTCTTTAAAAACATTTCCAGTGTATGATAATACCCCATTTACTATGGCTTTTGGGTAGCAACCATCCGCCATTTCCTAGAAAATGTTATGCAAAACTAAGTAAAATTCCTCACAAAAGAATCACAAAGATAAATTTGGCAAAATGTATGTTACTGAAATTATGGAAAATTACCCTGGTGAGATTACTGCATTGCTCATCAGGCTTTCTGCTACTTACCTGGAAGGATTATTTTGAGAACTGGCTTGTAGTTTTTAAGTAATCATATTTAACCTTTCCAAACACTTGCAAAAGAAGGACTTGCTTTTAGACCTTTGGAATTTCTCCAATTTTTTAAGAACTAGAATTCAGGTATACTAAACTTTAATAGCTTAGAGTGTGTGGCCAAATTTTTTTAAACACTCTTGGGTGAAAATCATCCACTGTAGCTGATTTAACAATGGTTAGCAGTTGTTTAGCATGATCCCTAGTTAGCAGTGCAAAAGAATGTACAATCATGTCTACAAGTGGTAAGTACATCCTCCTACTTCTTTCTGAAGACAGAAGTATCTATCTTCATGCTTTTTTTCCTGCTCTATGATTGATAATTACAATGTTATCATCAGGCTTCAAGCAACTTAAAGATTTTGCTTCTTTTATATAAAAAATTATCATCTTTGCCAGGGGCTTTTCAGTTTTTCTATCAGCTGCATACATTTCCTGTTGGTTGGTTAGTATTTGCTGCCATCAGCTTTGCCACTATTTAATTTTATGTATTAAACTTAAATTATTGTCTTCGGCCTAATAAGGATTTTTTAAAAACAAAGAAGGAATCTACAAAGTGGTGTTTTGAGTCTTAAAGATGAATGCTCTTATTTTTCTGCTTGCATGTGTCTTCCAACTCAGTTTCACTCACAGCACGTTAATCTTTAACCTGGCCCTTTTAAGATCATTAAAGGTATATATTACTAGTAAAGCAAATGAAACAAGACTTTTCTTACAGGTAACTGAGCCACTGCCAGCTTCTCTGTTTAGCTCAGGCTGTATGTGAATGCAACATTTAGGAATACAAAATTAGTGTCATTAAATTTTATAAGTTCCAAGCATTTCACAGAAGCAGTTGAACAAGTTCTCCCATGTCTGACTGATGGTCAATATGACAGTATCTGCACTATGCCACTGTATATGAAGAAGCCCTTAGGAATCAGACACAATATTTATTTACCTGCAGTGAACAATCACTGGTGCATTATTCTCTTCTGCACTCTGCATGGCCTCTTCCACTTCCAGTACTAGCTGTAACAGAGGAGGGGCTTGATCTGGTGTCTTCTGGTCTGGCCAAGATGTGTACCAGTAGTGTTTCAAATTTCTGACTTCTTCTCCTTTCTGCAATCCAGTTAAGATAAACAGCATAAAGTTTTAAAATAACTTCTGGTTACACATTGATACCAAAACCTGGCCTTTGCTTTAAGAATGAGATAAGTAGATCAAAGCTTAATGGAACAGGAGATTCAAATGGCAAGCCACACAATGCAGAAATCTGGATTTCAAATATCACATCTGCATTTCAGTAAACTGCCTTAAAAAATATAATTCCTCCCCTCTTTTCTTCCTGTCTCCCCCCCCCCCCCCCCCCCCCAAAGTATTCTGCTCTTTTAGCGCCAAGAACTGTGTGCAAAACACTCCAGGCAGTCTGTTCTCTCTAGACGGATTCATTCAGCAAAGCCAGAGTTGTGTTTGTGACATAATTGCTTTCATCGAGTATTTGACATACAAAGAGCCAGGAGCCATATCTCTGTCATAGACAGATAGATCAGTAGGTAGATAGGTAGGAGCTTATTTTTCTATCTCTTCTGATAGACAGACTCATATCAGTTTTCTGTCAATTCTAGTTTTCTCTTAGACATGGCAAGAAGTTCAGAGACACTATGGAAGGTGGGAATTGTATCTAGCTGCAGTCCAGGGCTTTTGAGAGACACACATTCCAATTTTCTCTTGTCTCAGCTCGGCTATGAATACAGCAAATACGCTGTTACCTTTTCTGAGTGCCAAGTAGCACTGTGTGCTTCTGATTTTGTGTGTTCAAAGTGACATCCTTCTGCATGATTTCTAAAAGAGCCAAATAGTTAACAAGGAGCTCAGGGAAATGGCCTTACCCTTTCAGCCACTACATAAGCCAGATGGCATAGGGCTAAGGAAATGTCTTCAAAAGGTCTGGGAACAGAAGCAGAAGCTTCCACAACCTTCTCTTAAACACTTGGCTGGCTGAGTTTAAGAGAGGAGGAAAAGTGGAACAAATTTGGCTCTTTCTAAAGAATCAGACACAAAAATCTGGAAATAGTTTCTGTCATCTACACTCCAGACAGTCACTGGATGTTAAAAGTGCTCTGTGGTTGTGTCACTTTCCATCCTGCTCTTCAGTCAAAAAAGCTTTTACATATCTTCACAGTGAACTAGACTAGGGAAGTGATCTAGAAAAATCTATTTTCTTTCTCATACTAGATTAATTTTCAGATGGATCGATCAGTTCTCCCCTTTGGCTTACCACACAGTCACATACACGCTTGTATGGGCACACGGGAAACAACTTAAGCATAAGAACAAGAGAGCCAGACAGGGGGAGGCTGGTCTTCGTTGAGCTGCAATTCCAGTTTATACTGGGTTTAAAGTGCTCACTGAAACACAGCTACAGGAATCTTAAGCTCAGTTTAAGTACACTTTAAGAGGCTTACTACTGTAACACAGGGCCTGGCCTTAGGTTATTTACCTTAGTGAGAAGCTGTTCTACTTAAGAGATCATAACTAGTCGCCATGAATAGTACTTCAGCTCACTACTGTCAGTAAATCAGAGCAACACTTCTCTGAAATATGAACATACACAGTTGCTTTTGAATGTGTGACACCGTATGAACCACAAAGATTATGAACATTGGATTCTTAAGTTGTGAAAAATTATAATTAAAATGTTGGCAATAATACTGAGTGAAAAGTAAAAGATAAGTCATCTGAAGAAAAACATTAATCACTACATTTGACAAAAATAGAAAACAGACAAAGTTCTAGTGATGAACTCTGCATTTCTTTAGTTCTTTAGTTTTGTCTATGCTGTTACCAATTTTATGCTTCTGCTTAGAGAAGCTTGACTTTTGTGATTCTATAAACTTTTACTTTAACAAAATATTCTCTATTGGTGCTTCCATGAGACTGAGAAGACTCTGGAACACCTAGGAGGAAGCAAGATTTAACTGATGGCTTGAAGTCCACCATCACGTATGCTACAGCTGAGGCTGTGTTCTCATTTTGGCTGTGATAGAGTTGATTTTCTTCCCAATAGCTGGTACAGAGCTGTGCTTTTGATTTAGTCTGAGAATAATGCTGATGACACACCAGTGTTTTTTTAATTGTTGCTAAGTAATGCTTACTCTAAATCAAATACTTTCCAGTTTCCCATGCTCTGCCAGCCAGGAGCTGCACAAGAAGCTGGGAGGGAGTACAGCCAGGACAGCTGACCCAAACCAGCCAAAGAGATACTCCATACCATAAGAATATTGTGCTCGGTATATAAACTAGGGGGAGTTGGCAGGAAAGGGCCTGTTGCTTGGGTCAGGTTGGGTATTGGTCAGGAGGTGGTGAGCAATTGTACTGTGCATTACTTGTTTGGGGTTTTTGTGTGTGTGCGTGCATGTGTGTGTGTCTGTGTTCTTCTTCTATTTCCTTTTATTATTATATTTTACTTTATTTCTAGTGTTCTTATCTAAACCCATGTTTTTTTAAACTGTTTCCCAATTCTCCTCCCCATCCCACAAAGGGTTGGAAGGGTGAGGAGTGAGCTAACAGCTGTGCGGTATTTAGTTGCCAGCTGGGGTTAAACCATGACTGGCTGAGATCATGAATTGATGGCTAGACACTGGCAGGTTCCTTTGAAAAAAGAAAACAAGCTTTGTCCTATTGCCTCAGATTTTTCTAAATCCCTAAAGCTTGCCAAATCCTACTGCCTATTCTGACAGAAGTATGACAGTCCACCCTGTAACTTACGCAGTAATCACATATTGCTGGTGGTGAAATCGCATATTTCTGACCACTCATGTTTAAGGGAAAACAGGAGTTAATTCATGGCTTCTCTAGTTTTCACTACCAACTCATTTGGGAGTTGGGGAAAAGAGACATTACCCCACTAGTACTGAAAACAAAAACATTGTTTAACTGAAAAACAAACCGGGATGAACTAGAAGTCTGCAACATACTTGCAAACATTCTTTACTTCCCACTTGTTACGGACTGTGATTTTCTCTTTGCTGCCTTTGCCAAAAGCATGAGTGACAGACTTTCCACACTCTCAATCCAGATATGGGATTTCATATGCTGGCATTTTGCCTATTAACATATGGCTGAAGAGACTTGAAACTGGTTGGATAAAAGGAGAGTTTTTTCAGCTTGGAAATAAATTGTGGTGAGATCAGGGATAGATAATGGTAGATGAAAAATGTATGAAGTGTATGTAAATAGACTATTCTTATTAAAGCATGTAGCTTGAGATTCTAGAACCTAGCAATGAAAACAGCTGTAAAATGGGACTCTTACTGTAGACTAAGTAGCATTTAAGTACTTAAAAAATTAAATCTCTTTTTAAGCTCTCTGTCCACAAGATGATAGAATGGATTATGGTATGTAAAACTACACATACAAGTAGTTGAAAAGATATTAATATTTAGAAATGTAAGCATGAAGAATGCTGTAGTGAAAGTGTTTCTCAAGGTCATCAACAGCTTTAGTGTCTTGAAGTGGGATGATCCCTCAAAGCATCTTCAAAGTCCAGTCAGTCAAATCACTCAAAGAATAAATTAGCATAGGAGTTCAGTCATAGCGAACAGGAGTGGTACTACTACACCACTAACAAGTGCCAAGCAGACCAGTAGTCCCACTGCTTAGAGAAACTGAAAACAGGTAAGCAAAATTAAAATGCCTTTTACTCAGTTCTCAACTGTCCCACCTCTTGTTAGTGGCACAAGTCATCTTAGGTACAAACAGCTGGTGGGTATCCAGCAGTATGAAAGCAATCTAATAATGATCCTAAGAGGACAAGCACAATTTAACTATTTCCTAGGGGTCCCCCCATACTACAAAATGTGTAAGACGGCATACAAGTAAAAGTTCCCTGTTGGTAATCAGTTTGCCTAAGCCGATGGCCTAAAGAATAAACAAGCCTTTGAATTCTACAGAACATCATCACAGAGTTTAGTAGATTATTCCGTAAGTGCTGTCTGTGGTATAACTTGCAAAGGCTGGTAAGAAGCCTTTATCTGTTAGCTAACATGCCACTCTAAATGATCAGTGAATGCAGAGGACACAGAATGAGTCACTGGTTTCTTTCACTGAGTGAACTCCATACCACGACAACTGGCATGGTAGCTTTCAGATTGTTCATATGCAGTCTAAATCTCTGACTGCTTGTTTTATGGTAGTCTTTGTATCTGGTGAACTGGGCAAGGCTGTATTGACTTCAGTAAGGAAAAGTACTACTTGCACAGCAGTACACGTGCAGAAGATTTCTGAGCAACTCTCCATGAACATCTCTATTTAAGGGTTTAGACAGCTAAACTACTGTAAGTACACTGGGATGATTTACCTTCAGGGTGATGAGCCTTAAACGGTAATCGTCTGCTTGTATGACTTTGTTAACTGTAATTTCTATTCCTTCGTAGGTGACCTGTTCCTCTGGCCAATATTCTGTACATTTCTGTGTGCAATATAAAATAAATCTAGTTAAGCAGATATCAAGGGAGGTTCATTTTTACTCCTCTGAAACTAGATATAGCACATGCATAGATGACTATGAATAAACTTTGTTTCTATAATAAGTTTTTATTTTCTGAAGAGAGACCACATTTCATCTCATTTTTGCTGCACTCTTAATAGCACTGCTGCGCGACTGAAAATGCATAAATCAAGTAATGACAAACCAATGATTCAAATACACATATCCTTATTTATCTTTATGCAACTGACGTGCATTTTGAAGATTCATTGGAAAGACCAGTGGCAATGTGCTTGTGTTTTTAGATTAATCCTTTTCTTAAGACAGTAATGATTAGTATAATATACATTAGTTATCACTATTTCTGTGGTGTTCGTATATGGATATGAAACATAAAATACATCTTTTCTATTTTTTATAATGGGTCAATGCTCTCTGGATACAAGATGATCATTTGAATAGGTTTTCGTACAAAAGAACATGACTGCGGGTGCTTTGCGAATTAGATTATGTACCAAAATCCACTTCAAATGGACACTGAAAATCTTTCAAAGTCAAGGAACTAAAAGGAAACAACAGCTGTGACAGCTGTTAGACTACAACGCTTGATTTTGCCCCAAAACAGTCAGAGATGCAGCCAGCGCAAGCTGACAACCAGAGAAGCACAAACTACAGTTCATTTGCAAATGTACGTTGTGGTACTGATACACTAGAGACTAGTAGGTGAGAATTTGTAAGCACTCCTATCCTGGAAGGAAGGCTGACAGACTGTTTTTTTTTGTGTAGTTTCTCCTTAAACTAATCAATATGCAAAGGAAGAGACAGGCGCTTCCACACAGTGCACGAACTAGTTTGGGGACAAGAAATGACATGAACAAGGCAGGGTCTGAGAAAAAGGCTCCCTTGTGACAATGGAAGATGCAATCTCATTACCATAAGCCAATAAGAATCTGCTGTTGGACAAACCCAGTTAAAGACAATGCTTGTAAGCTTCCTCTTTTACATAACTATACGCTACTTTGAAAGAAGTAAGTTAAAGCATTTTGCTCTTCCCCACCAAAAATAATTCTACTTCAGGAGAAAGACTAACAACAGAGAAGTATCTTGCAAAGTTACTGAGTCAAAATTTTTGTGTGGGAGAACCAGTGCTGTTCCATCTGCATTGTGCATCAGTTAATAACCCACTGGTAGTGTGGCCCACTGTGTCTCTCTAAAATTATTTATGCAGTTTGAGGTTTTTTTCTTCCTCTACTCTTAAACTGCAGAATCCATTGTAAAAACTGTCAAGAGTGCTAGCAGCTATCAATAGCACAGACGCTCCTCTGGTAAAGGAGTGGAGTAAGATTGCCCACTCATTTCTGTGGGCTGTCAGTTTAGATTAGATGTGAAAGAGGGCTGAGATACAGAGCTTTTAATACTCACATTAGCAAAGACATTGCACTGAGGAGGAACACAGAGCCTCTGTTAGCAGCATCATTGCTGAACAAAGGTTTTGGTTTTTAATCTATGTACTTCTGAGTCCTGTTATTCATATATGTGCTATAGAAGAAAGGAAACGAATACAGAAAACATTTACATGAAAGGACTTGCCCTATACTGATGGCTGAGATTCCTGACATTGTTTAGTTTTTGACACAAAACATACCAGAAAAGACTCAGCAACTCTGTTATGATGTATAGGCTGATATGATGGGTGAAATTCAGATATAAAGGTTATTTTACATTGCTGTTATTCAACCTTGCTAAATAGACTACAGTGGAAGAACTTATCAGCAGATATGTCATTCAGGACCAATATTTCCTCTGCATTATCGTCTTTAAAACTCTAAGTCTTTAAATGATTCTGGTACACTGTGTCACAATATTTTAGCACCTTACTTGCCACAAACTGGCAACTCTAATCAACGAACAAGTTATTACTTCAGTGCTGCCTCTCAGATAGAGGCAGACATGAGTTTAAAATGTTAGTGCAAACAAAACATTTGTATCAGCAACACGCTGTATTTTGCAGCAGCAGTGCCTTGACAATACGTGTCCAATCAGGCAGTTGTAACAATGGACAATTTTTAACTTGCAAAGCACAATAATTCTGTGTCTGTCATGTTCATGTCTTTTTTCCACTAAAGCTCAAGATTAAATGTATTTACTTCACAACTGGGGAAAGCTAAAGGTTTATGCACATGCATAATTATGGGCACTAAGCTTCCAGATAACAGTTAAGCCATTTTAATTCTGTGTGTATGATGAAGGTATGCTCATATTCTTGGGCTTTTAAGCATCCAAAGCCTCTTCTCCAAAGGAAACTCTCTCACCCAAATTATTAATGGGTTCTCAGGGAAAAGCTTTGACAAATGCTGCTGCTGCAGCTTAAGAAACACTGTGCGGATCTCTCCAGTACACCTTGCTGCCAGTGTTAAGGGAGATACAGAACCCAACACATGCCCAGACCACTTTCTCACATCCTACACTGCCAATAAAAGCAGATGTAAGCTCAGCTACCTATCTGTGAACTGAAGCCCAGGCACATGGTTCTTGCAACTCTGCTATGAGGCAAATAATTCAGCAGGTAAGTAATGAACAGCTAGAGGGCAGCGGTATTTTAAACTGAAAACAAGGATCATGTTAGGTGGATTAGCAGAAACACCATGACAGTTTACATTCAGGAAGTAGGTGGTGCATAGACATTGTCAGCATCTTAATTTCAATATTTCAAAAGCATTTTCTAGACACATTCAGGAAAAGGTCCTCCATACCCAAGTCAGCTCTAGTTGCTGATTTTCATAACTAACACCTTTCACAAGCTGGGGACAGCATCGCTGAAATGTGGATACAGACATTGAATCATAATAAATGCAAGATAAAGCTGCACCAATCTTGTTAATTAAAGATACTCAACCTTAGTAGTTCTGGAGTACTATTGTTTTTGATTCCTTTAGAGAGAACTTGAAAGAGTGTCTGCAAATAGAGCTGGGTTTGGAGAGGTTTTAGGTCAGCTGGGAGAGGAAAAATGGCAAAACCAGCAGTAGACTTAAGTCAGACAACAAAACAAGACAAACTGAACCAGAAGAGAAGCCCATGTCTTCTCTGGTCCTGAAGAATTTAATCTAGCTCTGATTGCTCAGGACACTGAACTAACTAACTTGTGTTCGCTTTCTTGCATCTATGCCAAAAATATCCGCTAGGGTACAGATAAAAATACAGACTATATGTAATACCATTACCTCATTCATCTCTTCTATATTGGTAATCATGACAATGATGGGAGAACGTTCCTGCCACACCATTCTCCAGAAATCACTGACAGTATTAACTATCGGTCCCTGAGTAGCAATATATACCTTTTCCTCTCCTCCATAGCCCTGCCAACAAAACAACACAAGAACAATTTTAACAGGCATGTCCACCACAACCACAAAGGTTCAGTCTTTAAACAGAGAGCTACCACTGGGTGAAATGGACTCCATGGGATCAGTTCTTCCCCTCTCTCTCTCCTGCACGTGTAGATGGCGCAAAGGTGCAAGATGGACTCGCATAATTCCAGCAATGAGTGTCCAGCAGCCCAGGTGGTGCTGGCTAGGTCAAGAGCCTTATTCAGACTTATTCTCCAGTGCCTTGGTCAGGCCAGCTGACAAGGAATTTGAATTAAGAAGTGCAGAAATGTGGTTTTGTCTGGTCTGAACCTGTACAGTTGCACTTTGAGATTTAATTTTCAGTTAATGTAAGCAGGAGAGAAGAGCAATCAGTTCAGCTAGGATGACTTTAAAAGCCAGTGGATGTTGCAATTCTGTTAATATAAACAGTGGAAGATAAAGGCTAGGCAGACACAATAGACTACTGAGCTCTTACCCTGATGTAGTTAGCATTGATGTAAGAGCTGAGGGGGTCATCCTGATCAGCTGAGGTAAGGCACACTCTGCTGTGAGGATCTGAAAGGGGTAAAGAGATAAGTAATAGTACATTAGTTGCTCAGAGGAGAGAAAGAGACACAAAAGATTATTTTGTACAGCAAGACATTTACATGTATTCATGGCCATCACAACAGATGCAAATGGCCTTGGAGAGTTCTCATGTTAAAATGTTACCATAAAAAAGGGAAAGGATAGTTGGGGTAATTTGGCTGCTTCTGATAGTTTTATCCACTCTCTGAAGCCTGCTTAATTGCTCCTATTGCAAAGTCAGTGTGCCAGAGCGAATCTGGAAAAGCAATTTTCTGCTCCAGGAAATTATTTCTCAATTTGTTAGGTCAACAGACTCATTCTGACTTATAAGACATTAGAATATAGTTTGTGAAACGCCAACAAGCAGCTTTTTTCCCAAACCATAAACACGCATTTAGTGCACATAGGCAGGCCAAATGACAGTAACTCTTTCCCTGTTTCATCTTTCAGTGAACTGAACTCCAAGATGTGCTATTAATAAATGCTAATGGTTAAAGAGAAATTAAAGAATATTAACAGCCTCTTGTACTTTTCATAAGTCTCTTCAGTACTTGAGTTTCCCACAGTGGGGCTGTTTATGAAGCATTATTCTTGTTTGAATAATACAACAAATGAAAACATTATTCCACCTGTGAAGTTCAGTCCAATTCCCACTGAAGTCAATGGGATCTGTTCCACTGATTTTAATTGAGCTGACACAGCCCACATTCATCCACTTTCACCACTACTACACAGTTTATTATCATTGACAAGAAATATTCTCCTGACAGAGGCCTCAGCAAACAGCAACAGTGTACATCATGAGAATATTAAAAACAAACCACAGTGACTTCTTCGTAAAAAATATCCAGCATGCTTATAAACCAGAACAAAAAATATATGCCAAAAAAATTGCACTTTACTCAGTATCACATTGATGTTCAAGCACACAGCAATTTCTACAGTACTACAAAGACTCAGCATGAAATGCTGTCCTAAGAGCAGATTCATGTTACCTATTATGTGATAATGTAATCACAATCTGCAAAGTAAAGAAATTAACAAAGATACTGTTTTACAGTACACAAGCACTGAAACCAGCAAGTTCCTCTCTAATACAGTTCTCTCCCGCTCAACTTTGCTCACGCCTCTAGTGTTGGGGAGACAGTGAATCAAGAGATAAAACCTGCTTTTTAATCAAGGATTCTGATAGCCTGCAACATGTCACACCATTAAAAAGATGAATGATATTGGTTGCCAGATATTTATTCAAATGTCACTGGACAGAGTAGTTAGACCCCCCCCTTGCATGAAATTCCTTTGCCTGGCTTTTATGCAGTCATCCATGTAGTCTGCTGAAGTTTGAGTAAAAATTCCATGATTTTACCCTACTAGTAATGAAATAATCCTACTTTGTCCATCTCATGATGGGTCTTTAGGGAGACATAAAGCAGAAAAAAACTCTATCAATGGGTGCCATTGACTTTTAAGCACAGGCTTCTTTTAGTATTCTTCAACTGCATTAGAATTTAAGTTACCTTTCACTATGGACTGTCTTATTGCTGTATCGACAAATATTAAAATGTTATCCAGAAGATGCTTTTATTTTAGATTATAATACTTGGCTTGTGACTTTTCTGTTAATGTAGCATACACATTTGCCGTGGTAGTACATTAGTGAACAGTTTCAATCTTATTTTGTGTAAGAGAGGCCTATTAACACATTGTCGAAACAAGAACATGAACTGTTTGGTAGAAAGTGTAGCTGAAGCTGAGTTGCTCTTAGAAATACATAAACAGGAATAACTCCTCCTTTAGAAAAATTCATAAGACTTTTAATGAAAGAGCTTGCAGTATGAATTTCAAATTTTTGGTAAAGAGGCACTTAAGCAAAACAAGATCCTACTCTTATTGAAAACACTTATCCTAGAACAAAACCAGTGCACAGGCCAGGTCCAAGATGACAATACATCTTTAAAAAAACAGTAGCAGTCTGTATCATTAAGAAATCAAATGACATGTCAGCTATTTTTTCTACAGCCTCTTTGATGGCCATTTTGTGTTTATACTATGTCTGACATTTTAGTGGAACTCAGTAGACTTAACTGAAATGTTTTATGTAACTTAAAATGGTACAGAAGCAACAGAGCCACATAGAAATCTAAAAAGCTTGTCTAGCCATTACTCTTCAGAAAAGGATTCAATGAGACTGATATACAACAGGATAGTAAGTTCTTGCCACCTCTAGAATACTGTTACAAGAACTTTCTTTTCTATATATTAAAACAGTGCCTCCTCCAAATACCTTAGAGAAAAGTTATCATTTTCCAGAAAATGCCATAGGACTCATCCCCAGAAGAGAACTGCCTACAAACAAATGTGCAGTTATGAAATATCCAAATCAACTTCTTTAGCTTGGCATTTTCCCAGAAACACCCTTCTTCCATTAAAAAGCCACCTTCTAAGCCATTTTACTACTAACAGCAAAATTGTAGTAAATTATTCTTACAGATTCTCCAAAAGAAATACAAATGCAATGAATTACAGACTATTATCATGTCTCTTACTACAATCAACTCTAGGGTTGCAAATAACTGATTATCATATTATCATGACTGCTCACCTTTTAATGATGACTGCCTAGTTTGCTTCTGGTGATACAGCTGGTAAGCGAATTTTAGTTACTTTTAAATTCCAATTTTGGGTTTGATTCTAGTTTGATAATCAAGCTTTTGCTGTTCCCTATGATAATGAGTGGTTTGAGTCTGCTGTACTGCAGCTTGTTCAGCAGTTCCTGTCATTACTGCTTTCTAAAGCTGGAACCTGTAGGAATGCTAGGTAGACACTTAAGGTAGCATAGGCTATGTTTGGTAAGCTCAGAAGCAGAAGTCAGTGGATGATCAAAGCCTGAAAAGCACTGGACTCTCCCTCATCTTACCTCCAGATTGAATGAGCTTGGAATAAGCTTAGTAACCCTTGGGGGCATGGTAGGGTAGAAACTAGTTTGCTGGAGAAGTCAATGTGACAAACCAATGGCTGCTAGCAGATACCCATATGACTAAAATGAAGTTTGCAGCAAATAATTAATCCACTAAGTGATGATTCTTAAAAAGCAATGATTCTTAAAACTGTTTTCAGTTTTCTTAAAACTGAAAACAGTTCATATCTGTTGCAACTCTGGAAGAGGGTGTTCAAAACAGTAGAAACTCTCATTTTCAGTTTAAACATCCAATGCAAGATATTTAAAATGGATCCAGTTCTAAAAGGACACATCAGATATCAAATTCAGACTATATAGATCACTTTAAAACCTAGCAGTTTGGGCATCTGAAATCACTAGACACTTTTGCAATCTTCTATTACAGCAAAACCAGTAAATTAATACTTGAATGATTCACTTCAGTCATTAGCACAGCAATTATGAAATTCAGTTGAATGTTTTTGCACTTCTGCTCTAAAGTGGAGTACGAAGTCATCAGAAGAGTTGTGCACATTGGATCACTGTCTGCAGCTGCTACAGTTGTAAGTCTAGATTAATAAACATCTTCTGGAAACAATTCCAACCTAGGTTTATTGACTAAAATGATAGTTATAGCTGAAGACATTTTTTACTTCTCTGCAGTTACCTTTGCTAACCTGACACTGAAACTTATGTGCTTTGCAAATACAGAGCTAAAAGCTTGACTGACATCTAATTAAAGTTACTTTGAAAAATGATACAAGTATGACAGAATGGAAATTATGACACTTGTAAAAATTTGTACCAAAATGTGTCTCTAAACTCTTACTCTTGTCTACAAATAAAAATAGTATAGGAGAAAAAAAAAATATTCTGATTTTCTGTGTCATCTTAATGCCATCAGACCATCATTTCCGAATATTCTCAGACTGCATTTGAGGCATGATTCCAAGAATAACATCAGTCAGGAAAATAACATCACTAGAATTTAGTCCTTCTAAAGGAGTTTAATCAAAGAACCCCCTAATTAACATCTGAATAAACACACTGAGTTCTTGGGTAGAATTTTTAAGCAGCATCAAATGATGCAATTCTAATGACTTAAAACTTAAGTGCTGCTGCTGTTCAGTGAATATTAGGCTCTTCATGCTCTGCACCTCTTTTGAAATTTGATTTATGCTTTGAAGCCATGTTGCTGCTTCATAAATATGGCTTTTGGACAATACATTGTAGTAACAGCACATTTCACGCATTCTGGATACAAGGCCCTTCACCGTGTGGAATAAACCAGCCTACCTCAGTGACTTAAAAAGCAGAAACTTACTTGGAAGAATTGTTTTGTAGCGATTCTTACGCACTAAGCCTGGAATATCATATTCCTTTGGATCAACAAAGTTCATAGGAATTTCCTGTTTAAAAAAGAAAGAAACAAAACCACAAAACAAAATAAGTAGTACTATTAGATTCACAGGAGGAATAAAAAAAACCCCAAGTCCATTATGTCCTGCCTGTGAGGGAGGCAAAGTGATGAAGTCAACTGACATATGGTACAATACTTAGAGCAATTTACCACAAAAATACGACTGATGTTTCCTTGTACTATCACTGGCTTTCTTTTCTGAAATCCTTAAAATGAACACGTTCAGAGTGACTAATTCATTGAGTAATACATGCAGCAGTGTTATGTTAGTTCCCAATATTATTAGGACTGTATTGCAAGTGTAGGCACAGAACTAAGCAAAAGGTGGTACGTAAGATACTCTGCTCCAAAAGTGATGGACCTCAGACACCATCCTTTCTGACTCACACTCCTTCCTCTCTGAGGGTGGAAGGAAGTAATTTTCTAGTGACTTTCATCAGCAATAAATTATGACACACATTATGACGGGTTGGTGTACTGACCTGACTGTGGAACTGAGGGAACATCACTCTTCGTTCAGCACACTTTAAAGCTCCATGGGCAAGGACATCAAACAGGTGCTCAGTGATTACCTGCTCTCTACACTGTTGACGCAAAGAATGCACAAAGATGGAGAGGATTCTTATTCTCCATTACTAATCTCCTGAAAGAAAGTGGCCAATGCCACTTCCAGGGAGGAACAAAGAGGAACATTGCGCCAACTGGAGTCAACAGGCATGTGATGAGACAGGATGTGTTATCCAGGCTCAGCAGAGAAAAGGCTCGTGGGAGCTTGAGAGCAGAGCTGGTCATCCCATCTGGTGCATACTGGATTTGAGTAGCCAGTACCAGAAATACTGCTAACAGGAGTCAGGGTTGAGTAAAACAAGCCTCACTCTGGGAAGAAATTAACATGAGCAGAGTTATGAACTATATTAAATTCTGGAGTTTCAGGAGACTGACTGTCTGCATTCTGCTCTTACATAGCACTAAATGGGCTTAACCAGAGGTAATTAATGGTAAAACCATTTTGTTGAAGAAGTTTTCTATCAGTTTGGAGAACTGCATGGGAATGAAACCTTGACGTTTTCCTCAATTGTTACTTGGTATTTAGTCACTCAAAACTCTCCCTAAGCCAAGTTCCATGGTCTGTTTTTGGGACTTAGTCATTCACTGCTCAAGCAAATTCTTGGTGAAATCAACAGAAGGTCTGTCTGAGCAAAAACTCTAAATTTTGAAAGAATTTCAGGGCTTAGCCATGCAAGTGATGTTCCCTCTGACTTTTCTTGCAAAATGAAACACAGCTGCTTGCTTCATCATGGATCAGGACTTTAAAAACCAACTAGGTTTGACAAAAGGAAAATATATGATGCAGAGCTAGCTGGTGATAACTGTAAAAAAATAACTTGTTTACAATTTTTAATTACAGAAATGACATTTTGGTTACGCAGCATTTTTATCTATGCTTTTTCAGTTTTCATTAAAGAATGAAAATGCCTTGGGATAGTTTGGTTGTTGAATGATTTTCTAAATGCCAGGTAAACTAATTCAAAAATCTTTTAGAGAAATGAAGCATATTTTTTCCTACTTCTGACATTATTTTCTTTGCTTGAAAGAAAGCTATACTGCACCTCAGAGACTGATGAAACTGTATGTCAACTTGTTCAGCAGACAGTTCAGACACTCACCAAGTAAACGTTTCCTCCCTACAAAAGCAATATATGCTTTACTCAAAAGAATCAGGGTTTGCCTACACAAAAGCTGCCTTCTTTTCCAACTTATACAGCACTAAGTGAATTAAGGACCATAGATACCTGGTAATCTGTTTTAAAACAGAAGTCCAGACTATCTCATTTCCACCTGTGCTTGTAAAGTAGAAAAAATAACAAACAGTCCTGAAATTGCACAAGAAAGGATGACAGCAAGCAAAGTGTAACTCCTACCCTTTCAGGCCCATACAGGTCATAACGAAGACAAGCTGAAAGGGCTGTTGTGTTGCAAAACATCATCTTCCTCCTGTTCTGCTGAGACTGCATGCTTAAAAGAGTATTTGACTTGGTAGCATTAACTTTTTCAACTGCCCTGAAATACTCCAGCATGCAAAGACTGAACCCTGTTTCCCTCCCATCTTGTGCACAAATTTACAGTTCTGCCTAGTAGACATAATACTTAGAGCCACTGCAGCATTTTGCATGTTGGGTTTTTTTCATAGTTTGTTTGGGTTTTTTTGTTTGTTGCTTGTTTTTTTTTGCTAGATATGACAAATACGACAATGCCTATCAGGGACACTCAGGCACTTAGAGACTCAGATAATGCAAATATTTGAAAAGCCAGTGTACTCACTACACTGAAATGTATCTGGCCTTTATCCTAAGCTACTCAGAAATCCAATTTCCAACTGCTTGCTTCATCTGTACATGTTTATTTTTTTCCAAAACTAGTTGGATCATTCTCCCAAAGCACAGCTGATATAGTAAGCCAAGGAAACATACTTCAGAACCCCAAAAGCAACTGACAGAGCAGCTTACAACTAGTAAATAGTTTTTTGTCCAGAAGAAAACCCAGTAAGACATACTTTCTACAGCTCCTGCTGAGTGACATAGCCATCCTCTGCTTTGGTCAACTGGAGAACATTCAAGCTTGGAAAGCAGGTCCATGCCAAGCATTCAGCAGCATGCACTTGGACCAATTTTACTCCTAGGGCAATTCCAGACACAGAGTTGTTATGCCTACAGAAAACTTGGTTTTTCTTCTTTAGTCTAGTGAAAAAGTTTGGTTTTGTTTTTGTTAAAAAGTAGCATGCTGACAGAAAAAAGAGATTTGTGGAAACAGAGGGGTTTTTTTGGTTACCAGAACCAGTTCTCTAGTTTTCAAGTGACAATAGCACTGAAAGCTTTTAGACTTTGCAATTTCAGGAGATGACAAATTTGTTTAAATGCTTCACTGACCGAAGTGGAGTTTGCATGTACTAATTAGAGATTTGCAGAAAATAACAGCAACTTTCATAGAAGAGAAACAATAACCAATTTTTCTGGTGCTCCTAGAAGAGAGAGGTCAGGTACTCACAAAGAACTCTGCCTGGAGTATGAAAGGATCCAGTGCTTTCTTGTGCAGTTCCTCTTCAGTAAGGATGTTTGATGCCGTCTGAAGGTATTCCTGGGCTGACTGTTCCCGTGGTGACATGACATAGCCAAAACCTTGCTCAGAACAGCCTGGGGTACACATATCCAGTGTGAGTGAAACATTTGAACCTCTCCTGCAAAACATAGTGATTGAAGTTTGCTTACAATGGAACAGCCTGACCCATCATAAGCAGCAATGGATACAGTCCCAATGACATAAAAACACCATTTTAGAAAACCACCCAGCTCATTCTGCTGTGTCCAGTTGGGTCAGTAACTATGAAAAAATGGGTGATGCCTCTTGAATAGGGACATCCAGAAGCTGATCTTGTATACTGGAATATGAAGGCCAACACTTTCCAAGTACTGTCTGTACTGAGGTAACTGTGTACTTTGCCACCTAAATAGAAGTGATTTGCTTGTCAAAGGTGCTCATCAGGCAACTGCAGGGAAGTTTTCATACTTGTGTCAGTCACACCATACTTTTGGATGCCTTAATATGGACTTACATTTTAGACACCATAAATAAAAATCTTGGTCTTTGTTTTTGTCAGGCCACATCCTACTGAATAACCATTTTCAGTAGCACAAACATCAGTGGGGTAAGATCTTGGGATAAACATTACCTGTTCAACATTAATAAAGACATGGGAAGCCAATCACTACAGCAAATAATTTTTCTGCCTGAAAAACTTTCCACAACAGTACACCATGGGAAGTATAAAATGAAGGTCCCAATATTTTAACAGTTACGCTATAAACAATGATGTTGAGCACAGATTTTTAGTGGCTTTACTGTAAGTCAGCCACACATCAAAACAAAAAATTCAAAATGCCTGCACTGTTTACTGAATGCAGTTTTAAAGCATTTCTGAGCTTTCATCTATCTTGTATCACAGACAAAAGTAAGAGTCAAATGCCAAATATCTTAAAGATAACGATAAAAGCATACAACATGATGATTACTAGGTGTAATATTCTATGCATCCACACAGTAAGTCTATTTTTGATGACTCTGAACTGGCAAAGTCTAGTTGGGAAGTGTTTGCAGGAGCTGCTGGAAAACCAAGTAAACATGCAGGCATGACCAGCTCACAGAAAAGACAGTAGAAGTTGTCACTGGGATCACAGCCCTTTTCTGGATTCAGAAGTTTTTCCAAAATAATGTGCAGCCAGCTTTCTGCTATTATTCACAGTCATGGGGAAGTGATTTTGCAAGAAACGTGATCACTAGTGGTAGACACTGAATCTTTAGTGATACCTTTCAAGAGACTTTGATCCTGCGTGCTGTTGAATAGCTCCCACATTTCCTCCCCAGAAAAAGCTGCATTTGGTAACAAATGTTTTTGGTTCTTTTAAGGTAGAAGAGGCTACATATTTAACAGTATTAATAGCTCTTCAGCATGAGGAAATGAATTTTTTTCTTCTTAAGAATTGCTGCTTGAATTCTTCTAATAGCGTAGGTGGTTAAAGAGTGATGGGGAAGCAAGATGGAGAGGAAGAACGGATGCAAAAACGGGATAGGTAGGTAATTAAATACAATACCAAACAAAGGAAGAATGAGCAATATGTGGCATAAATGAAATCTGTCAGAGCACAGCCCAAACCTGAAATGATGTCTGGCTTCTCAAGTATACATGTAGGTTGAAAAGAAATTTATTTTACATCCTAAGTGTACATGTTCTACTGAGTGTGAAAACATCAAGCAATTGCTTTCCCTTTCTTTATTTTCCCCATCTCTACTTCTTGAACAGCTTTTTTTAAATGTATTTCATTAGAAGCCAACAATATACTGGGCTGCACTAAAAGGAGTGAAACCAGCAGGTTGAAGGAGGTGATCCTGCCCCTCTGCTCTTATGAGATCCCACTTGGGAGTAGTGTGTACAATCCTGGGGTCATCAGCATAAGAAGGACATGGAGGTGTTGGAGCAACTCCACAAGCATGATCAGGGGGCTGGAGCACCTCCTGTCTGAAAACAGGCTGAGAAAGTTGGGGCTGTATAGCCTGGAGAGAAAGTGGCTCCATGGAGACCCCATAGCAGCCTTCCAGTGTCTGAAGGGGGCCTATGTTAGAGAGGGAGTCTTCATCAGGGACTGCAGCAATAGGACAAGGGGTAAAGAATTTAAACTTAAACAGAGGAAGTTCAGGTTAGATATAAGGAAGAAGTAGTTTACTGTGAGGGTGGCACTGGAACAGGTTGCCTAAAGAGGTGGTAAATGCTCCGTCCCTGACAGTGTTCAAGGTCAGGGTGGACAGAGCCTTGAGAAACATGGCAGGGGGTTGGAACTAGATGATCTTAAGGTCCTTTCCAACACAAACCATTCTATGATTACTTGAACCGACTGATACTCCCTAACTGATTCTCTCCAACTTTCCTGAAATAGTGATTATCTTTCCCACAGGCTAGCAGTCACCTGAGAAGAAATGTCAGCATCTTTAAAATGATAAAGATGGAATGAAATCAGGGATAGTGAAAAGCAGAAACAACTGATGCATTTCAAGCCCAATTTAGTCATAATAAGAAAAACTGGCTACTCACTGATAGCAGCAGGTTCACGGACAAGCCCCAGAGGTTACTATCTCTGTGCAAAACAGAAGCCTGTTCTGATACATTCCCTTTTTATTGTGTCATGTGGAGCTTTGGAAAATCAGCACCATACTTTTAAAAATCTAAGTTCTGCAATTTAGGTTTTAGATATGAGAATTAACTATGGTTAGCCCTCCAATTTAGCTTGAAAATCTAGAAATAAAGAAAGATGATATTTTGCTGTGCTGGGCCCTTCAGTAACTTCGTTCTTATTCATAAGATCATCACCGTTGCAGAATTTCTTCACAGGATTTCTATGATCAAGATCTTTGTTCTATTTCACCAAGACAACCGAAAGAACACAAACCAGAAAAATATCTTCCTTTTATCATCTTATAACTGCCTTTTGCCATCTACGAATCTCTCAGAGAAGCTCCTTTGCTCTGATGGCTCAAGCAGTGCACACCAGCTCACCTCAAAGTTTCACTACTGTGTTAATTTCAAAGGAATTAATTTACTTTTGGACTAACGCATTTAAATAAGAATTACTGAAGACTACCACTTGTTCTACGGTTTGCTTTTGGGGAAAGGACTGATCCTTCAGCACGACTGACAGAAAATAAAAAACCCAAACAAGATCCACCTCTTTCAGAAGTAAAAGTTTTCAGTGCCCTATAGTGGATTTCATGCTGTGCAATTGCCATCTTTAGGAATGGCAAAAGACTGATCAAACACAGCTGGATTTTCAAAGGACAGGTATCTAGAAACTGAAATTTTGGCTAATGTTTGTATTTATGATTGGACTGAAAACAAGACAGGAAATAAAGGCAAAAACATTTGTGAAGGCAATAAAGCTTCCTACTAGGCACAGAATTCCTATGTCTACAAAATCTGGGACCAGACTTTCCCCTATTAGTCACATCTACCCTACCTTTCTTGCAAGCCCACGGATTTAACTGTTAGAGTAGCTGGATCCGTCTCTGCTTTAATGTCCATTACGCAGTCAAAGACTGGAGTCTCTGGTACAGGATCCAAATCTAGGAAGTCGTCCTCATTTTTATCCTCTGTCCACTCCGAGTACGTGAATGAAGGCTGCCGGCTCACAGACTGGCGTCTGTCATCTTGTAGCGGAAAAGCAGGGTCTGGATGGGCTCTCATTAGATGCCAAAACTGGAGAAAAAACATTTGAAAAAGCTTTTGGCTTGTTGCCACCCTCCCACACAGCCTAGAGGATGGGTCTTTAGGGCAGCATCCCAGCTCACTGTCACATATTAGAACTGGAAAGTACCAAAAAGGCCAGGAATGTTCCATGATAAACAGCTTTGTAGTGCATGTTACAAGGATTCACATCTACCCATTCAAACATGCTTTCAGTCACAGAGGTTTCCACAGAGCTGTCCAGGCTTAACTCATGGATACAGTGGAAGCAGGATGTGCTTGTGACCATCACGTGCGAGCCAATGTGATATTCCTGTCCTTTTGTTCAGTTTCTTACCTTTCCTAGGCTTGTTTACAAAATAACATTCTACTATACTATTTTACAAATCACAGAACCTCTCCTGACTTAATAATTTTTCCATCTAAAATTTAGATATAGCTGGGTTAAATAAACAGTTTTCCTGAACTGCATGTCTTCGATAATCTGGCACTGCACCCTGAATTAATGTATAAACTAATCTTTTTTTTTTTTAATTGATTGGTTTTAATATATTTGTTTCTGAGGCTCAGACTGCCCATATCAGTTTTTGGCCAGTGACAAAGACCATTTTGTAACATAATTATCTGATTTAAACATGGTATAGACATTAAATAATAAATCCTGTGAAGCCCTAGGATATAAATGTAATATTAAAATTTGTAAGTTGAAATGTCATGAATTTAAGAGTTACTGCATCATATTGGTTTGCATGGATGCTGGGGCAGACAATTGACTTGGAGATTACATCAGTAAACTGTTTAATCCTCCACATAGATCTCAGTTAAAAATTTCAAGCCTACCTCAGAATTGCAGGATCTGGAACCTTAGGCCAACTTCATTGCTCTAGCACTGAATTAAGAGCAGTACTGAACAGGCTAAATGGTATACGAACTATATTGTATTGTCATGCATCCTTTTGAGATGAGAAACAGGTCTTTTTTTCCCCCAGAGCAAAGCATCTTATCTGGCTTGAAATAGGCAGCTGAATTTGGAAAGCATGCCATTTAAAAAAGGCCATATTTCTCTTCCTAGGCTACTAAACCACATTAGCTTGCATATGATTTTAAACAACTTTTCTTGTGCCTGTGCCTCTTTAGGTACTCTCATTTCTCTGGACCTAGAGAATAAAAGGAAGTGAGGTAGGTTTTAATCTCTGCCCACAGTTAGCTTTAGCAAATTTTACTCTCACAAAGCAGCAGTACCCATTTAACAGTTACTTCAAACAAAATGTTTTGTTTGTTTTTTTTTTTGTGTTTCAGTTAATTAGCGTACACAGTAATTACAAAAGCAAACAGGAACATGATTATTAGACTTTTATTTTACACAAATTTGGGATCAAGTCTGAACTGAGTCTGGTGTTACATGCTTAGCCTGTTGGATGACAAGATAGAAGCTTGAAGATCTGATTCTATTTTCATTCCCCAAGATGGATTCAAGAGCTTGACAGTCCCACAGTACCAGCCATGGTTCTCTCAAATACTGCAAACCTGTAATAGCTGAACAGTTCACAGTGTAACATAGCCACTCAAGTACTTTGTACTGCTGGAGAGTCCTGTTGTTACTGAAATCAACACTTGTGTTGAGGGTCAAGTATAAGGTCTAGGTACCAATTATATATCACAGATTCTAGAGTTGGTGACTTAACGTACTGTAAATCCAAAGGAACAAAAAGTTCACCCTAAAAACAAAGCAGTTTTTCTTTAGGTTGTAAGAAGTGTGTGGTAAATAAGCAGCTGACCAAGACATTGGAAGAAATTAAGTTATACTTAAAAGTATAGCAGTTAAACTAAATAATGGAAAAATAGCTCTGAAAATCTAGTACAGGAAAACTGGACAGCTCAATGCTGGTTCTCTGCAGCTGCCTGGGTCTTAATGCACCATTACATGAGACAAAACAGATGACAACACTACTGTAACCCTCAAGCACTCTATCAGCCTTTTATTTTCACTGTAATTGCTAACTTAGTCTCCCAATGCATTCTGGAACCTGGGTATTCTCAGCCAAGTGCTTCTAGTATTAGCTGAGGTAGAGCTAATTTCTCAGGAGAGTAAACATGTATTAGAGTTGCAAACTCCCTGATACGAGAATGAGCTGGACTTTAGCAAGTGCACAGACCAGACAGGGCTCTGATCTCTTGGTATTACTTCTAAGAATCCACTTGACCACCATTCCTCAGCCTTCTTACATGGACCAACAGTTATTGCTCTACACTGAAGCAACAAAGCACCTGTATAAACAGGCACATTTTTCCCTTCCCCAGGGAACTACTAAAGCATTACTTTTAGTACCACAGTTGCTGAATAAAAAAACAATGCATATCAAGCTGCTTATCAACTGGTATACCACCTAGTATATAAAGGCATCCTCAATGTAAAATACCCCTTTATGGTCCCTTCTAGGCAGCACACTGTTTAAAGCCCATGAGAGGAAGAGGGAAAACAGAAAAATCTGTTTTCATGGCCTACATCTACAAGGGCATTACACTCAAGTACACTGGTGCTCTGGAACAGCTTTTTCTGCCACATAAATCAATGGATGCTCTGCAGCAATTCATAAGGAAGCAATGAATGGTCCCGTTATTGGACCGTATCCTTCCTATTTATCCTGTCTGTGGATGGAATGCATAAAACCCATCAGTGTAATCCCCAATTCATCAAGAAATTGAGTGAGGGTAAGTGTAGCTCTGATACCTCTACATAAAAGCAAGCAGATAATTATACAGAAATAGCCCCAAAAAATGTTCTCTTACAATGAACTTGGGCATAACCTTAACAACTTTGGGTAAATAAGACATCTTGTCAAAACTCACTGAGAAAGGCCATAAACATAGTTTGCACAGTATCATAACTTACCAGAGATCCTACAAATAGCAGTCCAAGAGAAGCTAAAGACAGCAGGATGTATGATACCACAACGCTCCCTATTCTTGTCAGGCCCTGTGAAACAACAGAATTGGCAATGATTCATAAAGTATTCAGGGGCACAGCATAGCATCTGCAAGCATGTTCTGGGCAAACTGTATAATCATTCTTGGATTTCCTATGCAGATTTAGTCATACCATACACTTGTTCGTGGAAAAGCCACCACCACCAGAAAAACGCTAGGCTTTGGAAAAGACAAACTGAAACCACTACTAAGCCCCAGCTTTTCAGAAGGTCTAAAAACCAGATTTCACTGTGAAAGCAAATAGGAACCCTCCTTCCTACCCTCATGCATTGCCAAAACTGACATCTGGATCCACAATTCCATTTGCAGCCTCGACCAATGTTTCATTGCCACAGGCAGTGTAATTTTATACTATGGCAAAGGGCTTTGAACAAAGTTTAGTACTGTATCTGTTTTTGTGTGTCCTTACATAAAACCCAGCCACAAGGGACTTATGTTTTCTGCACATTCTGTGAAATACCATCAAGTTCATTCACAGCACTGGCAGTGAAATTCCCTCTGATGTCTTAGGCATATTTAAGTAGTTCAGAGCTCAGCCTATTCTCAGTAATAGGTGCAAAATTAAATTCTAATGGGCTTCAGTGGGCAAGGAATTTTACTGTTTCTGACCCAGTAGTACAGCTAGCTAAAGAGAAATTCACAATTAAAACCTTTCATTTGCTTATTTTAATTCCAGAACTGGGGTGGGTCTCTTTCTTAATTTCTCTACTGTTTTCAAGCCTAACGTTGCACAATAAATAGTGCTATAATAAGAAGTTCTCAAAGAGATGCATGATCATCTGCACAGAGTCATACTTGGAGTGTTCTTGTGGTGCATTCTAGGAATCAGTTTCCTCCACATCGAACACTTAAAGTCAAAATCCTATGTATCAGAGATTTTCTGTAAGGAACAATTTGTAAATAATTGACCCCCTACAAATAAGATACAGGCAATACCCTATGAATAGCTCTGATTATGCATAATAAATCCAACTGATAAAGAAAAGTTCTTCTTTCAAATAAACAAAAGAGCAGATGACATGCAGCTCAAACACTGGTAAAGAGAACATAGAAAACAGTCTCCATTGTACTTCAGCCACAAGAGTCAGATTTCTTATTTGTACTGCACAGCCTCTGCTACAAAGATTATGTACAGTGAATCCAAGCATTCTGATAGCACATACATTTCACCTGATTTTTGGAAGTAGCTGCTCACCGCTTAATTAATGTTCTGTCCACACTAGTGAAATTTGCACTGTGTATAATTACCCCACTAATTTATCAGATGAATCATACTGGTGCCATTATATCATAGTGAGAAGATAGGCAGTTTTACTGTAGCTTTGTACAGAATTGAATCTGTACACCTAGTATACCTGAAATACTTTTACTGCACACAGATGTGCTCTAAATAATCAACAAAACCAGAATTTTGTAACTGAGTATCCTCTGATTTGCACCCTTTACATGGGTTAATCCGTTCCTCCAAAATCTAAGCTTCTAACCATCCTAATAAATAAAGCTCCAGCTCCCCCCTTTACTATGGACTAAACCTTAGTGGGCTGATTTCTTTTTGCTTTTTTTCATTTGCAATCATTTGCACATTATAAAAAAAAAAAAAAAAATCTGCTGTGCTGATCTGACATCATAGCCAAAAATTCAGCCCTGTATGTTGAAGATAAAATAGGGATCTGTTTTCAGTAAACTCCTTTCACTGTTTCAGGACACACATACAATGCAGCAATCACTATATTATATGAAGTACACGTGTATTATACTTTTAATGAAAAGAGATATTAGAAGCACCACCTAAGGCTACTGACATCAACTATATAACCAGAAAGGAGTACAGGGTCTTACCTCCGCTTGATCTGACAAAAACTGCTTAAATGGAGTAAGCAAGTAAGACAGCAGGTCAAATGCATTCTGAGCTGCTGGGATGGTCCCGTAAGTGCTGTACCACAGCATCGTGCCGAGAAGCTGTGCAATCAATCAGAAAATACATAATGAGCATCTCTCATTATACAAACATTCATTTTCATTTCAAGACTGCATAATTAACTAATCTAGTTCTCATTGATTTCATGTTAATAATTATTTTTGCTTTAAGAAGTCAGGTATTTTCTAGGCTGTAGCTTAACAAGAATAAAAAAACTGAAGACTAAATGCTCAGCTACCATTATCTAGATGTGCACCACTGAGTCAAGCAAGCTTATTCTAATCTACATTAGCAAAAGGACTATCCATGGTAGCCTGTACATTGAAAAAGCAACAGATTCCTCTGACTTCTGAGCTTTCAGCATTACTACTTTTAGATCAAAACTGGTAATTCAATGAACTTTGTATGTTATTAAAAGACTAATAAGGCCTATCTCATCTATGCAAACCTTTCCCAAATAGGCATGTTCACATAGGCATCCCTATAAAAGCATACACACAGAGACATGCACATGTTGAAACATTTCATTTGAATCACTTAAGGTTGCTGCACATACCACACCACTACAAAAGCAATGATGCTATATTTATCACCCTCACAGAGAGGTACACCTGCACCCTGACCATAAAGGGCATACTGCAACTTTAAAGGATATATGTCCCAACTGACTTGTTAACAAGATAGTTATTTACCCCCATACGTTTTCAGCTACAGAATATGGATTTGTTGGAGGATGTGTCATTTGGCAAAGAATCATTTAAAGAAAGGCAGGAAACAAACAGGATGGAAGTCTGGGACATGAAAAGACAGGGGCTGCCTGCAAAGCAAGGCTGTGAGAGGTGGGTCCAGGAAGAAGAGTACTGCAGCTATACCCATTGCTACATTTACAATGAATGAGGAGGAAAACTCCCAAGCCAACAAAACTTAAAGAAAGGTCCTAGCATTTCAAAGCAATGACAAGCTGCCTTACCAGTATCTGTGAAAGGACAAACAGATACATGCTGTCTCCACGCATTAATCCATTCCACCATGCAGCCCAACCAAGTAGTGCTGTTTTCTGGGAGGTTTTCAGGTACTGCTCCTTCCTGTTCAGCTGCCCGTGTTGTCCTTCAGCTTCATCCATTGACTCCATAACAGCTGGATTGGAAAGACCTTCACGTGAAAATGACATGTGCAGGGAATGAATAGCATGTAACCCTGCAGCCACCACAGGGGCTGCAAGGGCTATTGTTTTTGTAGAGATGATGGTTACTTCTCAGTTCTGCATCACTAAGCGTGGCTCAGGATTGTGAGCGTCACGCTCTATTAGTGCAGCTGTATTCACCTGCCTTCATCAGAAAAAAGTGAGTGTGGGTGGATAAATTATTTTCCCTTTCTTTCCGGAGGCGCAGATTCTGGGCTTTGTTGTTAATAAATTCTCATTTACATTGCTGCACCTTTTCAGTTTTACTTGTTAAAAGCAACCATCTGTGCTACTTCCCAGCTCCACATTCTCGGCTACATGGTGACAGAGAAAATGTTTTGTCCTTCCCTGCCTCAATTTGTCTATTTTCACTTATTTGTCTGCTTTGTCTAATTTGATTATAAATTCTTGAGGTAGAGACAGTTTCATGTTATGTGTCTGAATAACACTCAAAGGCTCTGGGTTTTGGTTGAGTGTCTTAAGGCACTAATAAAATAGACTTTATTCTAACAATCTACTTCTTGGGTGAATTCATACTCAAGTACTATTTAAAAATGCTGTAATGCTATTCCATTCAGGAGAAATATGCACTGGAATGGCTAGTCCCTCGCTAACAGTATTTTGAACACAGTCTGTGTAGCTATAAATTACTTTACAAGCTAAAAGGAGTGAAAGATCAAACCAGTTTCATGGAAGTACTAATTATTGCCATCTTTCTACATGAAGAAAGCCCCAAGGCTGGGCTGCCCTGTGTACAACACTCTAGCCTTAAGCCTAAACCAGCCACCTGTGCTCCAGGGAATGGCCATGTCATTGGCCCTTCCATGGTTTGTTGAGGGCAGTTTCTACAAAATCGCCCTCTCCAAATGTTTCACAATAGTAACCCTAAGTCAGGTAAGCATCCATTAACTAGCCACAGCTCTCATTAGGCAAATGAAACATAGGATCTGTGTATCAGCTGACAGTCTGGCCATTGTTACAGTAAGGATTCATGAAAATCTCCCATTATGATTTCTAAAATACAGAGATGCAAGAGTGAGTGTGAATGTGAGATGTTTCTTCCCAATTTGTGATTGTTCTTCCTCCCTTCACTGAAACAGACCTTAGGACAGCCACCCCTGTACAAAAGAACAAGGTGTTTGGGAAATGTTGATGGCTTCCTCTACAAAGTTCTCCATTCCCACAGCTGCCCAGAAAGAAGAGGGTCATCACTCTGCAATGACAAGGAAGAGCACCTTCTAGGTACTACCACGTACTTCCCCAGGAGCTCAGATTACTGGTTTCTCAGCAGGGTATGCAGGGTGCAACTGGCTATACATAGCTATTTTCATTATTGTTACACAGGTATTTCTCAGGAAACACAGAGAATGTGCATCTAGACATACATGCATGTGTGTCATACCACAGGTATATGCTGAAATTAACTATTTGCCAAGAAAGACTCTACTTTTTGCATAAACACTATCAAGATTTCATATTAAGTACCTATTAAAGTCAATAAAACATTGGAAAATATGGAACTAAAGAGGTAAAATAAGAAGGGTCAACAATCCAGCCTTTATTTCTCACAATGATAAAACAACTCATCTTTAAAGCTAGAAGACAACGTCTTGAAAACACCAGTTTTTAAAGAAAAGCACTTAGTTTCTGAAATATAGCTCAAGAAATCATGGAAGCTCTACCTTTCTGTCCTTCAGGCTCCAACTGATAATCTACAGTCCATGAAAACCTTCCCCTTATCCCCCCAAGAAACAGAGAACCCACACAAAGTCCTCGGTGTCCCTGGACACCAACCATATTATTAATACCTTGACTTCTGATACCACGGACATGGAGCAGGACTCAAAGTTCTCTAGGAAGACAACACAGTGGACACAGTGTCTAGGAAGACAACACAGTTAAGCTGCCTAAATACTTTCAATGCTCACCTTTGTTTTCATTTTCTATAATGTGCTAAAACTTAGCAGTTGAAGTTGAAAATTTTCAAGCTTTCAAACTGCTCCATGTCTCACTGGATTTGGACAAGAATTAAGATGAAAGCCCTTGTTAGTGATTGCCATTTTTTTTTCCTGTTATTTTTTCGGGATGCCAATGCCATGCTTTGGAACAAGAATTTGAAATCTAGTAGGAACAGAATCTTGAAGTAAGGAATTATTTTTGCCACCCATGCAAAAAGACATGCACCTGTGGCTGAGATATAAACCTTCAATAGTATTTATTCACATATAGTTTATTATGATTTGCTCCCTAAGTATCTTAAGTTTTCATTTTCACTTATGTTTTAAGTTCTACTTTCTCTTTACCTGCATTAAATAATGCACATCTGTCCCTAACAATGGCTAATGAACCTATTTACTGTTTTTGCAAAACCTAATGACTTCCTTTCTTGGACACTCCTCCCAAAGTAAAGATAAAGTACACACAGAGCAGAACTAAAACATCTTGAGAAGACAACCAGAACAATAAGCCATGGAATGCAGATAATCAAGCTCAGCTTTCAACTACAAGTCATAACATTTCATATTTCAGAAAGCCTTTTTTTGTTGTTTTAAACTGACCAAAAGCACATTCCCCTGCCTTAGGCAGCATGTAAACAGAATTTCTTTTTTTCATATCTGTAACAGCCTGAAATTTTACAAGGTCACTTCTGTCTAGGTTGGAAACAGAATCCTGACTCTAATATGATGACGTGAAGGCCACTTAACCACATGCTTTCTGGAACAAAGACATCAAAGTTAGGGGGCTGCTGTGTCTGTCACTATGGGGATCTATGCCTCTCCACACCCCAGAAGCCCAATTCCCAGTATTCCAGTGTTGTCTAGCAACAGTTGTACAATTGTACAAGTCACATTCTCCTTCTTATGACTACCCTATATGAAGGACAACAGACTATATCTACTTTCAATTATTTTCATTGCATAACATAGAGATCTAGATCTTATCTATGGACCTAGGAGCCCAGGATTCTAGCTCTGCTGAACTGATATTGTTATCAAGAGGTATTTTCACTAACACAGTAAAAGACAATGAGACAATTGAGAACTGTCTGAATTCATATGTATAGCTGTATAGATTATGATTCAGGTGTTGGATATACAAAGCAAGTGCCCTGGATTAAGGAAAGTCTTAAAATCACAAAAGATTAGATTTTAGCAAACATGCCCACCTAGGGTTCTGTATTGATTTAACTATGTCAGCTGGTTTAGGCTTAAGTATTAAATACTACTTGAATTACCATTCACACTTCATCTTGCAATCTTACATTCCTGTATTATTTGCCCTAATGGACACTGGACTATTTTGGTGCACAGATTAGGCAATAAAGGAGACATCAGTAAAGTTTTCTTGTGTCAAGGTCAGCATGAAGGTCTGGAGTCAGTTGACCACGATGACTACACGCAGGAGGAGTGAATGAAGCCTCTCCACGGCTAGTGATTTCACTGACCATAGAATCTAACATCCATGTAACATCCTCATAAATTCCTGCATCATGAAGATTGGGATTCAAATTCCAGAAGTACTTCTGCTTTGACACAGACTATGCTTGCTAGAAAAACCCATTTGGCAGAAGAATTAAAAGGTCTGACAGCCACATGGCTTGTCAAAGCAACTTGAAATTTCAAAACACCACCATAACTTAAGCCTTGTTGTTCAGGGAAAGGAACTTCCCAGAACAAGCCAGTGATCTATTTATTCTGTATTCTTCCCTTAAACATAGCCACCAGTACAAATTGCCAAAAATAACTGGCACAACACTTTGTTATTGAATAATCTATACAGGGAAACATCTTTGTCCACTCACAAGGTTAACAGCTAGCTTCCGTAACTCAGACAACCCCTGTGCTTCCATCCCTTTCTTTTCCCGACTTTATGTGGGTACATAAAGGGCAGAAGAATGAAACAATACCCATATACACTCCCAGAGAAACATGTGCTTTGGGTATTAGACTTAACTGGAACACTGAAAGGCACTGTACTAATGATAAATCAACAGTGCCTCAGAGTAACATATATGCCATGATCCAGTTAAATCAGGATGAGGAGTGATGGCCATAAACACAAGAAGTTTCACCTCAACATAAGGAAGAGCTTCTTTACATTGATGGTGGCAGAGCACTGGAACAGGCTGCCCAGGGAGGTTGTGGATTCTCCCTCTCTAGACACATTCAAAACCCACCTGGACACGTTCCTGTGTATCCTGCTCTAGGTGAGCCTCCCTTGGTGGGGGGGTCAGACTAGATGATCTTCAGAGGTCCCTTCCAACCCTAACAACAATGTGATTCTGAAATGCTGCTGTGGGCGAGGCATCAGCAGCTCTGTAACTCAACTGATTCATACTTCGAGCTTTCAGAGAAAATAAAAACCAAACAAAAAACAACCCTGCAGGACCATGAATACCGGCTGTATTTCCTAATGAAGTTAGCACTTTAAAAGGAACTTGTGTCCTCTCTTGTGCATGGGTGGTAATGCTCAAGGAGTTGACACAGCTCCACTAGCAGACTTAATTAACAGTGTGTTATTGCGATGAGACTTGTTCCTTACCAAAATGAAAATACAGTACTCATACAGCTGTTAGACTTTTATTTGCATCCACTGCACTGTGCCTGTGGGAATTATGCTTCTGTGGAATGGAGTGGTACTGCCTTTTCACTGGGAAATATATGTTTTTTTAATGGTGGCTGCTTCTTCATTCGTGGTAGAATCCCTGAGCTCTGTGGAACTACCCAACAGGCACAAAAGATAGGAGGGAAAAAACAGGCTTCACCTGTTCTGCCAACTCTCAAGCTGTAGCAATCAACACACCACAGCAGCTCACGTGCGTTGTCCCCACATTTTTATGTTTGTGGAGATCCACATCCCTCTGAACCTCACTATATCTTTATGATAGCTGTGCATGGCAAGAATTTACTCTATAGGAGGGGATCATAGTGCGGAAGCTTTGCAAAGCATGAACATACGAGCAACACTT